ATGCTAAAATAACAACTATTTCACTAAGAGTGAAATTGCAGAAGAAGATTTATGGATTTGACATGTCTTAAGACCCACCAAAGCTTTAAAATCTCCTCTAGGATGTGTGATTGTTGCAGAGCCTGATAAGTTGGAATCTGTGGCACCGTAAAAAAATTATATTAATAATATATTTCTTTTTCACATCAAAAAAAAAATAATAATAATAATAACCAAAAACGTCCTCTTCGCTTTCGAAATATTTCCATCCTTTTAATCCACGATTCGATTTGGAAATACAAGTAAAGCACTGGAGGCACAGCTTCAGTGAACTAATTATTTGTAGTAATGTCTGTAGTCTTTCTAACTCCATTCATATGAAACGGCTTCTTGTCTCATCGGGGTAACTATAGCCAGTGTTATCATCATCATTTTTTCTTTCGCTGTTTGTTGTCTTTGTTACTGTTGCTACTATGTATACTAGCCGAGTGGTTACCGGAACATGACAAACAAATATCCAGAAATAAATGAATTTTTTTGAAATGTAGTCGGCCGTCTCCCGGCAGGGAATGTCAACCCCTCCGAGTGTATTTCGGACATGAATTAGAAGTTCCTCATAAAGATTATTGAATCGTTCGTAGCCGGCTTAGAAAAACTGTCTTTGTTGACCAAATATTAAGACGGAAACCACAAATCGGACGAGGAACTTGGCTAGGAAATTGGTTCAGCGGTTTTAAAGCACCAGATAAAGATGTACACCAGTAAAGAGAAAATATGTTATATTCTACTATTTTTCTGCGATAAACGCGGGGACGCAAGTCAGGCAGTTGAAAATGTGAATAATGTTTATGGCACGGGTTATGTAACATTCAATGATACACAATTTTGGTTTCGATGATGCGCCAATTGTCGAAATGGGCGATAAAATAATGTTCATTATCAGTCTAAGAGCAGGAACCTCGAGGTACGGGTGCCACATTCCTGCTGAATCGTAACCAAATCGTTCCATTTCTGAGGCGCGTGGTGACTGCTGATGAAAAGAAGATCACTCACAGCTACGTCAAATGATATGGTTGTGGTCAAAAGGTAATGAACCAGCACAAGCTGTCTCCAAGCCAGCGTTGGTCGCCAGCAAGGTTTTGTTGTGTTTTTACTGGGGTTGACAAGAAATTATCCACTGCTCCCCCAGTAGCCAAACTCATAATTCGGACCTGTCAGCTGTCAGCAATTGAAATGTTTGCAGGAAGCCATCGCCCAGCTTTGACCAACAGTAAGGGAATCGATAGTAACTCGCCAGAAACTCCTAGAGCTTGGTAAGTCTCTTATGCATCTACTCTATAGTCTGTACCTGGCACGCAGTGATTATAATGTGTCCCTGTCAATGATTTGGGTGGTGAAGAATTGATCTTAAGAGAAGCCTGTGAAAATCGAATATACAAATTTTTGCCAATAAGAACAAGGGTTTCTATGAGAGAAGCATAACCTCCAAAATGGCAAAAAGTTATCGAGCCCAACTGCGCATGTTTGACATAAATATGATAACTCTTACTATAGTAAACAAAGCCTTCGATATAATGCAAAAATAATAGACTACTTTTACTAGGCTGGAGATAGTGTGTTCGCCGAGCTGCTGGGTAGTAACAATTGTTACTCAATTTTACTGAGCCGCGTTTGGTGAGGCAAAATCCTGTAAAATTTGCATCGAGATAACTTGATGTCAAGCTTTGCTGTGAAACCAAACATGTTTTGCTTAAGTTAAAAGTCAGATATTTATATAAATAGATCGCTTAGTAAACGCACAATGCGTTAAATTTGTTTACGAAAATTGTGATTTAAACGTCCTTTAAGATGAGTTTAAGCTGCCCAGAACCATCCACCTATCCCTGCAATTGGTAAAATTTTCAAGAAATTTGTAGAGGCTGTACCGGTTACAGATATTGTAAGGCCTGTGCATAATCGGTTTGCGACCTCAAAAATCTCTCTATAGTAATTGAAAGTATGGCTGAAGACCCGGGTGTGTCTATTTCCCGATCTTTACAAGAGATGGAACATTTTTACGGAACTGTAAAGCGTAGTTTGCACTTGGCCTTACACTTACATCCATATAAAGTCATATGCCAGCAGACCATTCACAATCCTGGTCATACGTCGATTGGGTGCTTGAACAACAAACAATGAATGACTATTTTTCGAACAAAATTTTCTTCAGAAACGAGACACATTTCTCACTCGGGGGATACGCAAATAGGCAAAACTCTCGCTACGGGAATCTTCAAATAATTGAATAGAGGTCGTTATTCCAACAAAAATCTTACCGTGTGGTCCGCTCTTTGATAAGGAGATATTTTTGGACCTTAATACTTTCAAAAGGACCGCATGTACGGAGCAATATGGTCGTGTGATTATCAGACTTTTTGGTCTATAATGGAAGAATATGTGGTTTCAATAAGATGGTGTCAAATGCCACACAACTCGAGCGAAAATGACTTTATTGCGACAGAAAATACCAACCGCGTCTTTCGTCTTGACGATATCAATTGGCCCTGAGATCGCGTGATTTGACACCGTTGGATTTTTTATGGGGTTACACGACAGACCGTCTTTATGCGGATAAACCTTTAACTTAAGAGCAATTAAAAACCAAAAATCATCAAATTATGGCTGAGATACCACTCAATCTGTGAAAATCAATTAAAATGGATCAAAGTTTGCAAGAATTCGTGAGGCGGTCATTTGAATGATGTAGTGTTTCACATTTTATAATAAAAAAAAGTATTTTATAAAAAAATTTATTTAAATGCATTTTATTTATTTTTATTTTCGAGACCGAAAAATGTATATACAATTGGCGTTTTGTAACCGCTGAAGCGATTTTCGGCCGAGCTCCTCCTCCAATTTGTGGTTTTGCGTCTTGATGTTTTTCCAAAAAATGGAGGGACCTAGGGCTTATACTAAGCCGCCACCGAACGGCTGATGGGTTTCTTTTTATGAGGAGCCATGCCAGAAACACACTCGGATGGGTTGACATTCTCTGCCGAGGCGCGACCGCAATTTAGCTAATTTTTTTATTTGAATTAATTTTTTTAAATTAATTTTCTATAATTTTTGGATATTTGTCGCTCGATGCTTTTAACCCGAGTCTTCCGATGGCAGTGCGCAATACTAACCACTCGGCTACCGCGGCCGCAATATGTATAACCCTGTGAAATAAAGTCATTCAACTAAACAAGTTTCAAAATAATTGAGTCTCACCACTAAAATTTTTATGAGTTTAATAAGGCAAGTTTTGGAAAACTATATTTTTTACCATTTAGAGAAACGACATCATTTTGGAAATATTTCTACACTTCAAAAGATTTATATAAAAAAACAACAAGGATAACACTCTATAGCTTAGCTACATGATTTTTAAGCAATTTATTTTTTCAAACATTTTTTAACTTTCATTGGGCCTCAAGTTGTTATAAATCAGTTTTGTATTCGAAAAATAGGAAATAGACGTTGTTGTAGTATCGACTATTCAAGTCCGATTAGGAGTAGGCGAAACTAGACCAAGTCATCGAGGTAAACTAACGGGATGTGCAGGTAATTAGTTGTTTTAATGGGTTCTTTTGAGGCGGCCTAAGGAAACAGTATTCAAGACTGGCCACTGAGGGAAGCTCAAGTTTTCGGTGTCACATGAATTAAGGTAATAAAATTTAATTAACCGAATTACTAGCAGTGAAACACTTCCCTAATTAGCTGCAACAAACTGGCGATCAATTCTGAGCTTTCCTGTCAACAATTAACTACTTTCGGAAAAACTCTTCATCCCCTGCAGGTTAAGGGTTGAATAATTTACCCGCTGTAATGTATGCCTGAAGTAAGGGCCAACTAAAATCCAATAGTTTCCGCGACACTCGGGTTTTATACCGGAACGACCCGTATTTTTATTGGGAATTTTTGATGTTCCCATCATATAACCTGAAGGGTGCTTGCACCACCGGACTGTCATTTGTTTGGGTCTTTGCAAAACTTTATTGATGGTAAAAAGTTTAATGGCCGAAAATCCGCACGGGCTCAATTAAAAAAAGCTTAAAAATATACCAAAAACCCTCAAATTCTTTTTTTATTATTCATAAATTTTTAAAAATATTTATATATGTATATATGTGGCGCTTTGTAACCGCTGATGCTATCTTCAGCTGAGTTCCTCTTCCAATTCCTGACCTACAATCTTGAAATTTACCAACAAATGATGGGTCCTATAATTCATACTAAGCCGACTCCGAACGGCTGGTGGTTATTTTTATTAGGAGCTTTGGTTTTTTTCATGTCAAAAATACACTCCCTGCTGAGAGGACCCCGCAATAAGAAATATTAACATAATTTTTTGGATTTTGATTAAACTAGGATTCGAAGCCTTTGCCGTCAGAATGGCATACTCAATACTAACCACTCAGCCATTGCAGCCGAACACTTCAATTTTATTGACCAATAATTTTAGTCTTTTCCGAGGAAAAAGGATTAAAAGTAATATTTTTAAACACAGAAATTCCAAATTAATTATTTTCGTTAATAATAGTATTTCCATACAAATTTTTAATTATTTTTTAACGCCAAGAATTTTGTGGGTTTTTTCAATTTTTTATTTCCTTTAGCAATCCATGAAGGGGTATAATTCGCATATCCGTAGCGGCAATGCAACGAACAGCAAGCAACTAAATCTTAAACGATGGACCCCTCCCGTTTTCGCATTTTTCAACACTTGTCTTTTCAACTTCTCATTTTTAGCTTTTTTATTTTATTCATACATTCGCCATTTAGAGCGATTTTTTTAAAGGTTAATACTGTTATAATAAATGCAGAAAATATGTTTGAAAAGCTGAACAAATTGCAGATTTTCTTCTTATTCATCTGTTGACTTTCCCAAATAAGCACATTCATCATACATGCGTTGCATACATATGTATTTATGAAAATATATTCTACTATATTTATATATGCATATATACATATAATTACTTTTTATTGGCACATACCCGTAATTAATATATGTATTTTAGGCGTTTACTGTCTCCGCACACGTCTCCACCAACACCGGGTGAAATACTATGTAGAAGAAGAAGAGCACCAGCAGTAAGACACAGGAAACACGCGTATGTATGGTAGTAGTGATAAGGAAGGTTGAGCACTGCACGCCTTGACCGGCACAACTAACTTCGCACAGCTGCGATTGGTATGTATTGCCGTGCGGAGAACTGCTCTAGAGGCCTGTCGGCTGACTGCTTAGAGATGCTGCCTCTGGTGTTCCTGCTCCAGCTCCTGCTGCTGCTGCTGCTTCTGCTACTGTTGGTTGGAAGCACGTTTTCCGTATTCAATGGCGTGAAATAGGCAAATCGCTAAAACGGAAACGTACGCAGCACCGTTACTTTTATTTACACCTTTCGCACCACTTACGCCTGTCTCTCTAGTCGCAGTGCTTACTTCGATTTTTTTTCTTTTGCAAATTTCTTATTTTTTTCTAATATTTCTTATTCCAACTGTGATTGCATAGTTGTGAAACACTCAAGGCAAGTAGCAATCAATCAACAACACTTTGCTGACACTTTCACACTATTCGGTTTCTTAAAACCAAAAAATAAATAATAATTCATTTAAAAAACTCGTCTTGTTTTTGTTATTTGTTTGTTTGTATTACTTCTAGATTTATTGTTTAGGGCTTAATTTTCTTGAATTTGATTTACAGTAGTTTGTATTTAATAAAAAATACTTTTTGCACTTTTGTCTTTCTCGGTTTTCGCTTAAAAAATTAAAACCTCACCTTCCAACTAAAATCAGTAACTGCGAGGCAGAATTCTTGTCGGTCTTGTCGATGCCTGCGAGTTGGATGCCGTATATCTACGAGTTCTGCCATAGTTTTCGCCAAAAGGCGTTTCATCACAGCCGGAGCGTAAATGCACGAAGTTAAATGAGAGAGATCGAGCATGTGCGTCCAACTGCCATCCGTGTTGGGGCGGGGGAAAGTGTTGGGGAGTTGTTTGAAAGGATGCTGTGTGAGCAAATTCGATTGTACGTCGAACTAGTTCGAAGGTTAAATACATACATACATATAATATATGGGGAAACATATGGTTCAAACATAAGGAAAATTTGTTGTGATTCTAATTATTTTATTAATATGTGCATACATACGTGCATTCACACAATAATCTTCCTGTGCTAAAAATATAAATGTACATAAATATGTAAGTATATATTATTTGTTAATACTATGTGTAATTTGTAGGCAAATATAGAAGGAATTAAAGTTTTTCCCTCACAAATTTCAATCCCACTGTCGTCGCTGTTGAATCAAGCGATGTGTGGTTATTTCGCTTAGACTTACAAAGTACGTCTGTGTGTATATAAATATAAAAAAAGTTAATAATAACTTAAATGCTTGATTATTTCACCCTTAACATCTTCAATGAAATCACAATTCGCCAATCAAATCACACCACTTTAAATCAATTATAATTTAAATATATGACAAAACGCCAATTCGATTGATTTACAGAAATTTTTATTAGGTCAAATTTGTTTTCGTATAATAAGTTCATAAAATCATGTAAATTTTTGACTCAAAATACATCGCATGACTTTTATAAAGAAATACCATCACATGACTTTTTACTCAAATGACATCGCATGACTCTTATAATCAAATGCCATCACATGACGATTTACTCAAATGACATCACAAGACTTTTCTACTCAACTGACATCGCATGCCATCAAGTAAATCATTCGTGATTCATATACGTTATTTGGTTGTGAAGAAATATTTTTTTTTTCAATATGGCAGCGTTATTTAAGTAACTGCTCACTAACAATTTCTTCTTCTTATCGCCCGGCATCTATCAGCTGTTTAGCTGTCAAAAAAATTGTTGAAAACCGCAAATATTTCCTTGCAGTGAAAAAATTGAAAGATTAGCAGAGTATTTTGTTTATAATTCAAGCGAAGAAAAATATCTTAAGTAAATGACGGGGGATAGTGAAATGCGGAACGACAGTCCGGATGATAGTGACGAAAATGGCGTTATTGATGTGGCACATTACCGACGATTGGTGAAAATGTTCATCGACATGGTAAGTGAAATTGAAAGAGAAATGTTTCCATATTTCACGGAATCTTCTTATATATTTTAGCGGCGATATCAAACAGCACTCTTTTGGGCTGAAAAAGTTTGTGTACTCAGTGAAAATGATCCGAAGGACGTATACTGTTACGCTCATTGTATGTTTTTGTTGAAAGAGTATCATCGCGCTGCACACTTGATACGACGCTTCCAACTTGAAAAAACACATGTGTCAAGCTACAATTTATTGTTAGAAAGTCTCTATGAAGCTAAGGAACTCAACGAAGCTGTCAGTGTTATAAATAATATTGACATTGAGTTCTTGGCTTCTTCTTTAATAAGTCAGCCACTAGACAGTGCTAATGTGGACTGTCACTCCACTTTAAATGCCGAGGAAGCAAACAAAAATGTAAGTTTAATAAATTTAAAAAATTGGATTTAATTAAATTTTATTTTCACAGGAAGTTTTGGCTTCAATAAATTTTATGAAGGGTAAGATATACGAATCTCTAGATAATCGCGGTTTAGCAATGGATTACTATGTACAAGCGTTACACAAGTCAGCCTATTGTTTCGAAGCGCTCGAAGCTTTAGTGCAACACGAAATGCTGATGGCATGGGAAGGTATAAATACAGAAAAATAAGACAATTTTTTGTTTTTTTTTAATTAATTTAATCGTGTAATGTTTCAGAAAAAGACCTAATGGAGCATTTACCACTTGTGCAACATTCTAGCGAAACCGATGCTAAGTTTATCAAAAAATTATATGAGTCGAAGCTTAAAAAGTACTATGAAGATATTGAACATGTAAGTATCTAACATTTTTATAAATCATTCTCCTCTTGATGTATAAATAATTGCTCTCTGCAGGCTACTGGCGACCATATTATTAAAGATTTCAGTGAATGTATTAAAAAAACTCTGGAATCCGATGTGCATCTTCATAAAAAGTTTATGACACCACAGATTATGTCACCAGCCAATAAGTATATGCTCTAACCATTGCATTCACACAAAACTTTTATTGATTTCCTGTTATTATATTTTAAAGAGTGCTCGTAGATATCAAGAACACTCCATTTTCATTGCATATCAGTCTCACGCGTGCGTCATCACTTATAAATGAATCCAACCGATCGCATATGGAGACACCCGGTCGAGAACGAACAAAAGAAATAGATAGTAAAAATGTTTTGCCGCTTGCCACTTGCTTAAATCGTATACAGAAAAGTACTGATATCATGGCTGCAGAAGCAGAAAAACTATTCTATGATTGCGAGTATAAAAAGAGTTATAAAATACTACAAGAGTAAGTAGATTAAGATTTCGAGAAATAAGTTCTTAACTCAGTGAAATGTTTCATTTTATGCAGATTATTAAAAGCGGACCCCTATCATAATGCTGCTTTAACATTACAAATTGGATGTTTGGTCGAATTCGGTGATTATAATAGTGAGTGTATATCCTATCACTTAGTGGTGTAGTAATTAATATTGTACTTTGTTTGCTTGGGCAGAACTTTTCTACGTCGCACATAAATTGGTTGATCGATATCCAGACAAGGCTATATCGTGGTATGCTGTTGGCTGTTACTACGACTTGATAGGCAAGAGTGATCCTGCCCGAAGGTATCTTTCAAAAGCAACCTCCCTCGATCGTCTCTATGGGCCTGCATGGTTAGCTTATGGACATTCGTTTGCTAAAGAGAATGAACATGATCAAGTGGATATTTTTAGAATAGCTTTGAAAATCATTTAAATAATAATGTTTCCATATATTTCAGGCTATGGCTGCTTATTTCAAAGCTACGCAACTCATGCGTGGCTGCCATTTGCCATTACTCTACATAGGAGTTGAATGTGGACTTACGAAAAATCTGGAGCTGGCTGAGAAATTCTTCGCACAAGCTATGGCTATTGCGCCATTAGATGTCTTTGTGTTGCACGAATTAGGTGTAATCAAATATGAATACGAATAGTAAGTCATTACTTGAACATGAAAGTCAATAATTAATTCTTATACTTTTGTATTAGCTATAAGAGCGCTGAAGAGGTATTTCAGCGCACAGCAGAAATTGTAAAGGCACGCGCTAAAGAAAACAAAGAAGAACTCTCAGTCCGTTGGGAGCCACTGTTCAATAACTTGGGCCATTGCTGCCGCAAGCGCAAGAAGTACAAAGAAGCTTTAAGCTATCATCAATATGTAATATGTATTTTTTCTGTTAAATTTTTTTAGTTTTATTAACTTTGTCATGTTCACTGTAGGCGCTTTTGCTCAAACCACAAAGTCCGCAAACCTTTACAGCAATGGGTTTTGTCTACGCACTAATGGGCAACCTCGATGAGGCCATTATTTACTTCCATAAAAGCTTAGCAATTAATCGTGATTGCATTGTGACAACCACTATATTGAAGACATGCATTGAGGATGTTATGAATGAAGAAACCGTTATTGAAGATATATGTGGCAGAGATTTTAGTGGCACTACATCATCCTCCTCCTCAAAATCAGCATCGAAACGTCTACCAACGATTGAAGAGTCGCCGGCTAAATTTAATTGCGTAAAATTGAAATTCGATGAAGAGGATAGCGCTGCGAATTCGCAAGATAAGTCTGATAGTAATGTAGTTATGGATATTAGTATGGATTTGTAATCATTTACATACAAATAACATACATTAAAAATTTAATAAAATAATTTCAAATGATATTTGAGAAATAAAAGTATTGCAATTTACGCCTGTCCTTGTCCTTGTTGTAGTGTTGAGTTGAGTTGATGTAGCTGGCGGTTTGTGCGTCTGATAAATGCACAGTTTTAAATGCGGTAATGTTCGACAGGCTCTTCCTTCACAGTTTTCATTTACCGTAAGTTTTCATTAGACTGTGCCCTGCTATTATTCCAATAGCGACGCTGATTGCGAGCTGGTTCAGAATAATCAATTTCTTGATCTTTTATATATTTCTCCGTGTGTAGAAGTTCTTGTTCCGAGTTCGTATCACTTTAGATAGTTTGATCTTTCGCAAGCTTTTACGCCGCTTAGTTGCCTGGTATACCTCTATGTCGGGGCATCACGATCACGGTCGTGCTGCATTAACTCGAGACTATTGAGAATGCTTTAAAATTTGATTGTCACCATTTATGTCTGATGGCAGTGTGGCTGTCCGGATATAAAAAAATGCTTCTTGAAGTAGGATATTTAAATATTCCTACTTGTTCTTTTCAGGGATCTTTAAGTAAAAGTCTCTCTAAACAGAATTTATGGGTAGTAGAATCCACGTCTTCTAGAATTTGTAGGAAAGATAGTATTCGCGCGAGCCGTATTACTCGGGGCTCTGAAGCAGAATTGCGTTCTCTGTTCACTTTGTTCCTAACAGTGATGTTATTGACTGTCTGCTATCAAACATGAGTCCCGTTTTCTTAAGCTATTTTCCTACTATTGAATATAAGTTTTGTGATTGCAGTTCCATGCCGTTATGAGATCCGAATGTTCTTCACTCTCCAGAATATGGTGTTTACCTTGAGATTCTACAATATATGTTCCCAAGGGTGGGCTCCACAACTTTCACTATGGGTGGTTCAGAGCCTATTTTTTGAAAGGCTGTGGATACAACCACAGGAAGGGGTTAGTTGTTAAAATCTTCTGTATCCAACTACGACGTGTAGCGCTGTGTGTATGAATTGGAACTTAGCGTAAGTATGGCGATTGTCCGAGGGTAATTTTTAACTTAAATATATGTAAAACATGTTAGAGCCTTTCTCCTTCGGTTTTTTCTGCCTTGATCCAATTCCATCTAGTCTGGTTGGAAGTTAAAGGGGTTTCTGCTGCTCTTTTTGAGCTCAGGGTTTTCAGTATTTCGTCATTTGGGTGTTCTTCGTCTTTTGGAGTATATAGAGGACATGATGGCAAAGGCACCGTTGCAGGCTATCAACAATTTTCGACCACGACTTTAGCTTAAGCTTATCGTAGAAGGTTTTTAGAGATAAAACTGTATTTATATATATATTTAAAAGTCGTCCAGTCTGTGTATTTTCCATTTCTGTAGGCAGAGCTCGGTGGTGAGATATATATGAAGCGATTTTCGGACTAGCTCCTCCTCTAATTTGTGGTTTTGAATCTTGATCTTTTTCCAACAAATGGAAGGACCTACAATTTACACTAAGCCGCCTCCGAACGGCTGATGGTTTTTTTATGAGGAGCCTTTATTTCATGTCAGAAATACACCCGGTGGGGTTGACATTCCCTGGCGAGGAAATATATATACGAGTCCATATATTTAAGTAGTCCGAAATAGAGCTAGAAACCAGTGTAATGTCCCATACCTTATTTCTTCACCCACCTCGAGTATTAGTGACAAGGGCCCCGAATTGTGTGATAGTTATTTTTATCAGCAGATCTTGTTGCCTACTGCCGGAGGTGCAAAACGGGAAGTAGTTAACTGTATTGCTTGTCTTCCCCTGGTTCAGGGAAAGTTAATACCGTTGAATCGTTATCCTCCTCCTCAGTTTTGATATCCGTAAGATGATATTCTTACTTATTTTACCACCGATTGAATATTACACCAACGTACTCTGACACTGAGTTAGCATCAAATTCAGCATCCGACGCGAGGTGACCAAGTCTGAGGAGTTTTTCCAGAGATCCTTGTATCTAATATAGTGGGGAGGTTTATGTATTCTCGACAGTTCCAATGTGACTCGACCAAGAACTAAATGGTCTTGGAGTAGCAGAAGACTTGATCTGAGTAACTCGCCCCCTGATCCCCAGTCTCAGTTACATTCCTGAATTTTGTTGCTCTGCGCAGACTAAGTGAGATGACCCAGCGGACGGTTTCGTCTTTGCCCCTGCGGGGTAGGTGTTCAAGAATTTTCCGCACCCGTAACTAATGAAATCAGAAAGGCATTCGAGCTCAAGGAGTACTGTTGTGCAATCTTTCTGGACGTAGCACAAGTGTTCGACAAAGTCTGGCATGAAGGTTTACTGTACAAAATACATAAAGCTCTGCCTGTTCAATTTTATATGATACTTAAGTCATATCTGACTAACAGACAATTTGCCATTAAACAATCTGAATTTATCAGTGAGGAGTATCCGGTAAAAGCAGGTGTTCCGCAGGGAAGCGTCCTCGGGCCCATTTTATATATCATATACATGGCAGACATCCCTTTAAACCGAAAAGTGCAGACATCTACCTTTGCGGATGACACAGCTATTTTATGCCGGGATAAATGCCCTAAAAGAGCAGCAAAAACGATTAGTGATAATTTACTCCTCATCGAAGAATGGCTAAAAAACTGGAGAATTAAAGTTAATAAAAAAAAGTGTAAACACGTCACATTTACTTTAAGACCTCAATCATGTTCTGCAATTTGCTTAAATGGTATAAACATTCCCCAAGTAAATGATGTTACATATCTCGGTATACACTTAGATAGACGTCTCACTTGGAAGAGACACATATAGGCAAAAATACTACACATGAAATTAAAAGCAGCTAGTTTAATTGGCTTTTAAATAAAAACTCCGGTCCAAAACTAGACTACAAAGTCCTTATTTACAACGCAGTATTAAAACCAATTTGGATGTACCGTATTCAACTGTGGGGTACGACCTGTGCAACTAATATTGATAAAATACTGAGGTTCTAGTCCAAAATTTTAAGAGCACTAACGGGCGCACCATGGTACGTTCGTAACGTTAACATTCATCAAGACCTTGGTATTCTACTGGTTAAGTCTGAAATTGAAAGAAGCAGAGCGAAGTACTTCACAAAGCTAAGAAATCATCCAAATCCGCTAGCTAATGCTTTATGCAACCCTCGAGAAATTCCCGCCTGCAACGAAGAGATGTTCCCGCCTTCTAAGGAGAGCGCCATAGTTTGAAAAGGGCTCAGAGTTAAATAACTCGAACTATCATGTTTGTAATTTAGTTTTTAAGATTTGTACACTTACTGTTAGGCTTATATTAAAAAAAAAAAAAAAAAAAAAAAAAAAAAATCCGTAAGGAACGACTAAAATCCAAATGTTAGCATGACAGTCGGGTCTTAGTATCGGCCAAGAACTTTTACTACCGCAACGTTCCCCAATAAGTACTTTGGGAATGTGTTTGCGGGTACAACAACAACAAAAACGATTTCTCCTTTTCCTCTAGTGGTAGTTAAAGCACTGATGGAAGTACCTAAGATTTGTGGAGCTTGTGGAAGTCCGATGGAGCAAAGCTGTATCGTAGAAGTGATTTTCGACTGCGCTCCTCCACCAATTTGAGTGTGTTTTTTCAACGAATGGACGGACCTACAAGGGGCGGCTGATAATCTAGCGTTCTGAGGTAGTTAGAGATGACACATCACCTAATTTCACGAATCATTATTAATATAAATAACACCACTTTTTTATTATTTTTGCATATTATTTTCATATACATATATTACTGTTTACTAATAAATTATTTACTCAAATTTTGCAACTGAAAATATTTTATTTAGGTGAGTACCCACGTCATATCTAAAAAATTCATTAAATACCAGAAACCGAAAAAACAACGTAAATTTGTGAAAAATTCAATGTTTACTTCGCCAGAAAGTTCAATAAAACACACATGTTTTCCTTTAGAGCCCACAGTTCTGTTCGGTGACCCGATGGACGGTAACAATTGTTGGAGAATTCTACTGAATCGCGTTCGATGAGTCAAATTCCCAGTCAAATTAGTAACGAGAGAGCGCAATTTTGTCGTTTCGTTTGAAGAGAAAGTTGCAAATTCGTGCTGTGAAATTTTCAGACAATAAAAACAGTCGATCTGTGATCATGTGGTAACCATTTTGTCCACAAAAAAAAATTTATTTAAAATAAAATTAATATTTCTATTAATACTCTAATATGAATGATGTACTAAGAAAATTGGCTAGAGGTGTCTCTGGTAATAGCTCTCAGAAGCGGCAAGTTTTATCAGAGCCTTTTCTATGTCTCTACATTTGCTCGCGCAGTCAGTAACGCCCCGTTAGAAATCCTGTTAGTATTCTTCTATTCTATAATTGGCGTTTTGTAACCGCTAAAACGATTTTGGGCCGAGCTCCTCCTCCAATTTGTGGTTTTGCGTCTTGATGTTTTTCCTACAAATGGAGGGACCTACTGTTTATACTAAGCCGCCTCCGAACGGCTGATGGTTTTCTTTTTCTGAGGAGCATTATTTCAGGTCAGAAATACTCTCGCAGGGCTTGGCATTCCTATCGCAATTAGAAAATTTAACTTAATTTTTAATTTAAATTATTTTTTATAACTTTTTTTTGGGGTGCTAGTACGACACCAGGATTTGAACCCGAACCTGATTCCTGTGGTGCAATTCAGGAGCTTTTCTCCTACACTAGCGGTTGTGCGATTCTCTAACGCAAATTTTGCGATAATCGATTGATGAAAATGGAAGGGTGACACCACAGTTTATCAAAATATGCAAGAAGCACAAAGAGGAATGACGAAAACCAGTGATTATTTTTATTAAATTAATTGCAATTACAAAGTTTACCAAATCAAAAACATCTTACGGTCTTCATTTTCAAAACTGCGCTGCATGACTCTTCGCTCTGTAGACGAGCTCCAAATAAAAGAATCATGCCGTGGTCCTGGGTATTTAGCATTTACCGCTAAAATTAGAGACAGGGATAACATATTTAACAACAACTAAAAATATGTATTCTTACCTTTTGGACATTGATAGAATGGTAATCATGGCGGTTGGCAAAGGCTTCTCCATGTGCCCCAATTGTATCTGTTACGCGATACATACAACGGCTTACGGAATACTGGCTCATAGATATCCCCCATCTCCAATGGGATGTTGATGCATACAATTGCCAATAATGACAAAGCTGTTAGAGCCCTTAAACATTGGAAAAATGTTGAAACTACAAAAGCACCTAAAAAATATATATGTATGTATTGCATATTGTTAACTGTTTCTCTGTAGATATTGCTATTATTCTTATGTCTTTAGTTGGCTGTCAAGAAACTCAGTTGCGTTCAAGAGGAAAGGATCTTCCACTTGACGATACAAGCGTCTTTCCAATGATAAAGGGTATGATACCACCTCATCTTGGGATGAAAGGTTCGCCAACTAACCCAAGCCCATTTTTGTGTGGACAAATCCAAATCCGTTCTCCAATGGGAAAATTTCCATTTGAATGTGTCCAAAGATTTTGAATTGGGTTCAAGTCCGGGCTGCATGAAGGCCAGTTTAATAAAGTCACCATATTTTCTTGAAGCTTGTTTTGTGTTATGCGCAGTATGTTAGGGGTCGTTATCCTGCTGATAAATCCAAGTCACGTGGAGATTGTCATTTATTTGGACTGGTTCATGCGCTCATCGATTTTGCAATTAGGCCCAATACCTCGCCCCGACATAGCACCCCAAGTCATTATGCAGTCGCCACCATGTTTTAAAGTTGGCATAATGTATTTGAGGTCCAACTCTTTGCATCGAGGCCTGCGGATATAAGTTCTTCCATCTGTAGACAACATATTTATCTTGGTTTCATCAGAAAATAGAACCCTTTTCTTTTCCACTCGTTTGCTGTCCAATGACGGCATTTTTGTGCAAACTCTAAGCGGTTCTTTCGATTGCGTGCGCTTTGTAACCTCTGAAGCGATTTTAGGCCGAGCTCCTCCTCCAACAGATGGAGGGACCTACAGTTTATACTAAGCCGCCTCCGAACGGCTGATGGTTTTTTTTTAGCTTTTTATCATGTCAGAAATACACTCGAAGGGGTTGACATTTCGCTTAAGAGGTAAAGCGAGAGGTTGAAAAATAAAATCATTTTTAAAAATTTATTGTAGGAATATGGGAAAAGGAATAAAAGTCTATTTAACCATTTCATTGAACATATGTATGTATATTGAAGTATAAAAAAATATTTTTTAATTATTATTTTCTTATAAGATGATGGTGATTAGGTCCATTATTTAATCCACGTATTTTTTTTGAAAAGCGTCCACGGGAGGATCGATTTTTTCTAAAGGATTAGACCTAAAACAGTAAAGCAAAAAGCTTTTCGATCTACAAACTATGGCCTTGAAGTACGTACGGATTTATTTTTTTATTTAATTTTTGTGAAAGCGGCACAATTTTTTTTTAAAAGATTAATTTTTTACTAAAAAAACACGCACAAAATTATTATAAGAAAAAAGTTTATATTTAATCGAAAAACGGCTACGCGCTTTCAAAAATAAAAAGTATTTGTGAAGCTACCATCAAAATTTCAAATAAATCAATACAATAGGGTGGACCGAATAATCTATCCTAATCCACTTTGTTACATATGATTTTGAGAATAACCCGAGCTGCAAAAAATTAAAAATATTTCTTTCACTTTAAAGCCAATTGCATATCATTTCTAAGACTCATAGGTACCCTGTGAGCGAAAAAAAATTGCGTTTTCCAAAATTCCCTTAATTTTTTATTTAAATTAATTTTCTATAAATTTGTGGATGTTAGTACGACACCAGGTGTTGAGCCCGAGCCTTCCGAATGGCAGTGGGCAATACTAACCAATCGGCTAGCGCGGCCGCCGTCAAAATAAGTACACCGAATATACCGAAAATCGTTAAAATTATCGCTAAGTCATTTTAACGTTGTGAAAATCGTTTTAATTTGATAGAGAATTTCGCTACTGTTCGGCTAAAACTCAGTAAATTTTGGGAAAGTGAAACAATTTACCCTCTCAATTTCGTTAATGCCTAATTCTCACTGACATTTCTCACCGAACAGAGTTAATATATATTGATGTTTCAAATACAGATTTGAAGTATTGTATTTCAAAAAAACCCAAGCACACATTTTTTAGGTCATTGTACAACTGTACTAACAGTGTTTGTTTTTTTTCTGTTGGTTGCAGAAATATTTGATGTCTCACAATTAGATTTTTTAAATTGTGTTTAATTAGCTTATAAATTTTATGTATAATTAACTTTATTATAACTAGTGGCTTAAGTGCTTTATCGAGTGCGCTAAACTATCAGCACCTTTTTCCACTCTAAATCACAGCCCAGCCCAATGCCAAATCTATTATTTTTTTCACTTCGGAAATATTACCCCGTTTCTTATCGGGCACGGGCACCGCTAACGCCAAAGTCAAAGTCGACATCTTCAAAAAACATAAAAATCACATTAATATTAGTTTGAGACTCATTCACTGTTATATGCATATCAGCTTTGAATGTCTTACATATGTATGTATGTATGTATGTATGTATGTATGTACATTGCCGGCTAAAAGCGTTACCAAAATATTTGAATAACGCTAATGCCGTGGGTGATGTTGAGCAAATAAAAGTTCGTACAAGCGTTCACCGGCTTTTTCACGGCGAACCAGCGGCTGAATCAACAAGCCGCGACAGGCGCGCTAAGAAGGTCTCTGGCGAAATGCCGATAAGTTTATGGGTGGGTGGTGGCAAAGAAAAGAAAGCTGCTTGCTGCTAGCTGCTAGCTAACGACCACTCTAGCTGCTATTGAAGGCATAGACGCTCAGTCACAACTTCTTATGGGAACTTATGATAAATTTATGGCCGATAAGAGTCATGGTACTAGCTAAGCGATTATGTGGTAGCTAGAGCAGCAGCGTTATGAGCAAAAACACCAGTACTGGCGTTCGGCTTAAGCGAAGAGAGTATAAAAACTGAAACTCTGCTGGTAGGTACGGTACAGTTCTAAAGCAGCTTTACGAAGTGAGACATTCAATTTTAGCTTAAAAGCGTCCATAAGTTCTTTCAAAACAACAAACGAAAAAGTCCTTTCTTCAGTTTCAAATCATTTTCAAATGTGCCGTTTTCCCGCCATGACGTCACTAACAAAATTAATACTCTTAGCGCTCGCTGTTTTCGGCCAATTACTTGTGCAACTCAATGCGTCGCCGGTTGTTGGTACATTCACCTACGATGACATAGATGATGATGACTCCGAGGTGTTGGAAGTCGATTTGAATAGCATTGACGCACTCCTAAGTAATGGCGAACACGACAAGGACGTCATTGATTTGAGTCATTATGGCAATTCGTTATATGGTACACCCGACAACGAAGTGACAGCACAATTGGTTGCCAATTACACCGCCGAGGAGTCGCCTGTGAACCCCGAAGAGTTGGGCTCCTACCTGGAGGGTGATATATTGGTGCCCAAGCCACCGGTAATGACTAGAAATGGCGTTACCACGCAGAGCTCACGTTGGCCTAATGGTGTTGTGCCTTTTGAAATACGTGGTAACTTTAATACACGCGATATGGCAACCATTGAACATGCTATGGATGAATATCATCGTCGTACATGTATACGTTTCGTGCCACGCAGTAGTGAGCAGGATTATATTTCGATTGTGAGCGGTAATTCGGGTTGTTGGTCTTCGGTTGGTCGTGTGGGCGGCAAGCAAGAGGTTAATCTACAATCACCGGGTTGCCTTTCCAAGCCCGGCACAGCAATGCATGAACTTATGCACGCGTTGGGATTTTTACACGAACAGAATCGTCAGGAACGTGACTCGTATGTGGATATACAGATGCATAATGTACAGCCTTCGGCGGTCGCGAATTTCGAGAAGGCTCAACGAACCATCGCTTTCGGTGTACCCTACGATTATGGCAGTGTAATGCATTACTCGGCAAATGCTTTCTCGCGCAACGGACGTCCAACTATCGTAGCCGTGGTGAGTATGAAGTGATAAGGCATAAAAATAATAGATTATCAAGATCAATCAGAGACCTTAACTCAAGTTAAGGATAAATAACTGAGGTTAAAGCTTTTAATTGGTTTATCTATTAGATGAGTTATTTTGATTGGGTACATATATTCAAAAATCGACGCCGCAATAGCTTTGTGCACTGCCAGTCTTCGAATATATGTATATATTCTTTCGCATAGCAATCGTTAATGTCTTCCAGAAAGGTTCTCCAAAGCGGCAGATGGGCTTAAAACACCTTTTTCCCCATAAGTCCCATGCAATGTCACAAGAAGAAGAAGAAAGTTGCATCTCTGTCTTCCAATTAGGATTTTATGTCCACCCCACTGGGAAATAGTTTAGCATGGCTTCTGAGTATACTTCCAAGGTGCAAATTCTTAAACGGAGTTGACTTTGTATGACCACTGAAAGGAAAAACGAGGACAGAGTATTAGAAATGGCAGTGGTAAGGATATGAGGGAACTTCCTCTCAACGAAGGTCCAAGTAGAGCTAATAAAGCATATACATTTGCTTAGATACTTCCGTGAAGTGGTCACACGTACAAAGTAGGGTTCATATAAATGCATTTTGGGCGAAAGCTTAAAGAATCTCGAAAGGAAAGAACGAGGGCTTTCGAAAATTAAAGCCCTTAATAAGCAGAGTTGGTCTTTACACACATAAGTAACGGGCGCTTTGAAAACGACCTTGTGGTCGACGTCTCGCTGTTCCTACTTTACCCGGGGTCCTAGAGTTTTAAACCGCCTCGCATTGAGAGATTTTTATAGGAAGCTATTGTTTTCTTGTCAGAATTAGATTCAGAGGTTGGACTTTCAATGCCAACACCTGAAGCTATAGGCTCCTTGTGAAAATTTAATTCATCAACCTTATCTCTTGTAGCCTTTTGATCGGTGAGCAAGAAAATTCATATTTCAGTGTCCCCTGAGACCTACAAATTGAATAGCGATTTTCACTAAAAACAAGAAGAAAACAACAAAATTATTTAATACATCTATAATCGTGACGTACTGAGATAAGACATGAAAAAAAAACAGATACCCGAAATAATATCTACAGTCACTGGTGTAAACATAAACATAAACATAAACACGAGTCACAGTGTCTTTGGCACTTGAACAAGGTTGTTTAATATTTAAAAAACGATTAGTTGAAAATTCCCAGCAAGTGAAGGCTTCAGAACACTTGGTTCAACAAACTGATCTCTGCTGGCTTTAAGGTGAGGGTAAAGCGGTCTGTAGGTGAAGCTTACAACATTGCCGTTATACTTCCGTATTTAGATAACAGTTAACTACTATACTTGCTTGTTTATTTATTTATTTAATCGAATATTTCAAACATTGACTGACTCATTTTTCACCCCATTTCCTCTAAAGCAACCTGGTGGCGGTCAGAAAATGGGTCAACGTGAAGGCTTCTCTGCTTACGACATTGAAAAGTTGAATAAAATGTATCAGTGCGATGGAGGTGCTATCGGCAATGGCGGCGGCTTCGGCGGTAGTATTGGCAACAATATGGGTGTTGTGCCGGCCGCTCCAGCGCCAGTTCCCGTGCAACCAGCTCCAGTCCGTCCCGGAGCAGGTGGTGCCAATTTGATTGGCAGTTTTCTTGGTGGCCTCATTAGCGGCTTGGGATTGGGTGAGGAAGCCAACGATGTATACACTACAACGGAAATTACAAATGCGTTTAATGAAATTCGAGCATAAATTTTGAGATGAATGATAAGAAAAGCGACTAATGCCAACGAAGAAATAGGATAATAATGCTTAGCGAAAAGAACTCGAATTACAAAGACAGTATTATAACAATTTTAAGAAACTTATATAAGAAATAAAAGATAATTAATAAACCACAAACAAAAATTTAATTTAAATGTTACTTACGGGTAGGTTCCACTGCCCCGCTGATGCGCCTTCGATAGACACATTGATCCTTTGTAGTATCCTATGCCACATCCCTTTTCTTGCGATCTAAAGTAGTCATCGTAAAGGACGCCAACGTCTTTCGCGGAATACAAGAGGGCTTTAATATTTAATTCTGAAAGCTACTCTAGCCCTTTGAACTGTGGTGAGATAGCTAAGACGAGCTGTGGCTAAGGCCGAACAGGAACTGATCTTTCCTCTGTTTTAAATCTGTTAATGACACCACCAATCAGGATTTCAAGTTGCTGGTTATCAAGTCTTGGATATTGTTTCGTTCAATAGAGGTTCGGTAAACTGAGTATCACATTATATCGACTTCAAGGTGCCCGCAAGCGAACTTTTAGAAATGAAGCAAAACCCGATTGGTAAAATTTGTATGGAAAATCTAGTGGGTGGACTTGCTGCTCCAAACTAAGAATTAAACTGAAGTGTGTAAAAAATATAAGATAACGGCTGGCATTCCCTATAGGTATTCGACTTTCCTTCTGTCAGCTATTTGACAGAGAGTTCACTCATTCACTCTTGATATGGGAAAATCCAGCGAATACATTTTTACGCAGGTGAAGACAAAAATAAATCAATTATGAGCACTGCCCCCGCTACGATGGGGGAATTCTGCTTAGTGAATTAAATGTCAGTGCACTCGTAGGCAAAGAAGCTAGTTTTAGGACTGCTGCCGGAAAACTCAGTCCACATGACGAAACATCCCCGAATGAATTGGAGCTGATCGACTTCGCCGGTTTCCGGAGTATGGTTTTCTGTAGAACTAGATTCCAGCAAAAAAAAATCATCAATCATCATCTCTGTCTCCTAGTCGCGAAACTTATAACCAAATTGTGATAGACTATCGACATACCTCCAGTTTTCTTGAAATGTGTACACTCCGAGCACCCAACAACGACTTGAATCACTATCTTATAGCAGCAGAGATACGCAGTGTCCCAGTGAAGAAGATTCAATGTCGAAAAGCTGCAATCACAACAGACAGCCGATTGGTTTTCTACTCGACTTGCGCCCCTGCTCTCTGAGAGCACTCATCAGTAGCTCTGTACAAGGAAACTGAGAGACGGAATTTTAAGCTCGAAACTATCGATAACAGGATTCTATCGACCGTATTGTGTGAAAGATTAAAGCCGACCGTTAACAAACTGACTGGACCTTATCAGTGCGGCTTTTGACCAGGTAAAACCAGCAATGACTAGATATTTACCATGAAAAAACCCATGAAAAGCGAATCGAACTTCGATAACACGGAAGGTGAGTCCGAGCTGCGGCGCAATTGGCTGTAAAGTTGGAGCCTCATCGACAGGCACCCACCAGCTTCCTTAGCCCAGCACTAAAAACGTTTAGTATTTATTAAAACAATTTGTTTCACGCTCAATTACCGATTTCTTTTATTGTTTTAGTTTTATTAATTTTTTGTTTAATTTTACAATTAGAATTTTTAATTTTTATACTTTTTCTTCTTTGTTTTAATTTTTATCTTATATAATTTTTCTATTGTGATTTTTTCGTTTTAATTTATAACCGTAATTTTTTTTCAATTTCTAACTCAATGTTAACTCGTTCTCCATATTTCTTTTTGCGGTCAGCATGCGCGCTCTGGGAAAACGGCAGGTGCTCATGCTATGTAAACGATATTGCATTTCCGGCTGGGTGACCTTATCGTATAACTTGGACTTTATATTTTCTATGCGCATAATGCCAACACTCTCTGTCTCATCTATATTGAGGGCATCAACTTCGGCGCATTCGGGACATTGCTGCGTTAAGACAATATCATCCAAATTAGTCGCATAATCAGCGAACTTTTCTATGTGCTTCACCAGGTACTCGTTTGGTCTGTTATTGGGGTCTTTGCGTTCATTTCTATAGACCACTGTCAAGACACCAAATATATGTTTCTCCATCAGCTTCAGTTGTGCACTTAAATTATTTATATTGATTTCCCGATACTTGCCAATTAGTTCTTCCAGTGATTTCCAATTGGTTTTCGAATGATCGCGTACCAGTTTTAAACCTTGGAAAAGTTTCTTCAAACGTTCATTGTTTAGTTCTTTGGTTTTTTGAAGATTCTTATTGCTGAGACGTTTTTCCGCCAAACTCGCTTCCAATTTCTCGATTTGCTCCAATTGATTTTGCATAGAATTTCGGTTTTCCAACTTGAGCATATCAATGTCCGCGAAAAGCCGATTAACGGCGTTGTTCAACAATGTCATGTGGTAACTCGTCTCATTGGCGTAATTGAAATAAGAGTAGTAGAGGCTTTCCTGTTCCTTAAAGTTGTTTATCACAGATCGAACATTCTTCTCACCGGTATATTGGAAGATTTTGTGCAACACCTTTTTGTTGACGGTGAGCTTGCGTTTCAAGCTCTCGCGCATGTTGTCCCGTCTGCGATACTCCTTCGGCTGCAAGTCATCCAAATTTCTGTAACGATTTTTGGTCTTATAAAAATCAACTTCATCTTTCAATTCAGATTTGTTACGACTGAGATCACGCATTTCCAAACGTTTTTGTTCCAGCTCCCTGCTCTGGCGTTTCTTAAAAATATCGAATCTCTCATAGAGATCTATGCTCGCGTCGAATTGATTCAACGCGTAACCAATTAAATCGATCATATATTTCTTGTCGCTATTGAGTTCGCGTATTGATTTGTAATAGTGATCGCTGAAGGTTTTACGCTCGTGTATTAGTTCGCGCAGCTCTTCGCGCAATGCCATATTCTCGGCGGCCATTTTACACTCTTGATGTATGCCCACTTCCAATTGATTCTCCATCATGGCCAATTTCTTTTGCGCCCGCACTTTGTTTTCAATGGCTCTTGTCGCAGGCACAGTGTTCCGATTTAGTTCGTATATCTGACGTGCCATTCGACCTAGTTCACGTTCAATATTGGCTATGCCCGTTTTCAGGAGCTGTATATCCTCTGCCAGGTGCTCTTCACAGCTTATATGGCATTTAATGGTTTTCAAATTTGCCGCAGATTTTCTTCGGTATTGTGCACCGAGTGCTGTCCACATGTGCAACTTGATATCGGTTCTCTCCTTGCGTAATTTCGCAGTGCCTTTCTTTATATTACCCTCCATGATTTGATTGCGTCTGAAGTGCTTTAGGCGTGCCACTAGTGCTCGCCTATAATCGCTTTGTCTTTTTGAAACTTCCTGTAGTTTGAACATATGATCCTTCAAAAAGGACGATTTCGTGTCGACCGTTGCCAATGTCATTATGTGTTAAATACGTAATCGGACCAAATAATCAAAAATTGTTGACAAAAAATATTAAAAAAAAAAAATTAAAAAATTCAATGAAAATTATTTTGTAGAAAATTCACAACCAAGCTCAATTTTTCTAAACATAAACTGACATTGTAGAAAATCGCTTCGAAAAAATATTGAGAAGATCAGGTTACAATGATAGATATTATACTAAGGTGTGTTATAGAATCATAGGACACCAGCTCGATACCAAACGAAGTCGTGTGACTTCTTTAATTTATTGCTGGTACATATAATATGAGCTGCAGAGCTGCATAGAGACGGTGCAATCTTCTATCAGAGAGAACAGCTACTGACGTACGACGATGATATTGACATTATTGACCTCAAAAGCCCCGCCCTGTGTTCTGTTTTCTCCAGACTGGATTAGGAAGTGAAGGATATGAGCAAAACGAAATGTCTCCTGTCATCAAACCAACAGTCATCAAACGTTACCGTTAAAGTCGTAGATAACTTCGACTGGAAATCCAAATCAAAAATTCAGCTCAAAACAACTTTTGCCAACAGATGCCATTTCGGACTAAAAACGTAATTGGAAAGTAAAGTCGAGTTTGAGTTTAATCTGATAAATTTTCGCGAATTCCGGTGAGAGAGTGTCCATTTTTCCCACTTGACTTTTTGCATTTTTTTCGGAACTTGAAAATTCTTTTTATATTCATATAATGGCCTACAATTCCTCCAGCGATTCTCGTTGAATCTTCTCATTCTACTCAAAACAGCTTGCCCTGTGTAGTCTATTAAAAATCCCAAAATCACACGGAGCCACATCAGGGTATTTATGAGCTAAATTTTTAGCGAAACACTCACGAAGAATCTATGCAGTGTGAGACTGTCCATCATTGTGGAGAAAAAAACAGGGAGCTGTCTTTCCATGAAATCCGGTTTCTTTTCGAGAATAGCGACGCATAACAGTCAAATAATATTTACTGTTGGGAGTTTGACCAGGTGAAAGAAATCCATAAAGCGCAACACCTCAGTAATCAGTAATGTAGGCACTTTTTCAAATGTACATAGGTTACCGTACTGGCCACGTACTAAGACCTGAAGTTGGAAAATTAGGCAGTGATACTGTTTGCCAATCCAGCTTTCAACGTTCCAAATGGACCCTATAGGGACGAATAAATGTGACTTAAGTAACAACCAGTTCTTTCACTAGCTCCAGATTAAAAGGGTGGTACATACTTTCGACAACTCGGCTCACCTCGACCCCAAGCAGACCCATTTTGATACCACTGAGGATCCCAAAGACCCCCACCCGCTAATATAATCAGCACGTGAAGTTTTCAAAGCTGGGAAGTGGCCGCATCTTAGCCCGGCTATCTCGCTTAGGTTTTCAAAGATTACCGCCCCCAGAAACTTCAGCTTACTCCTCCAAAGTGCCTTAGAAGTTTCCGGTGCTTTTTCCTATTAGAAACTGCTGCAGAAATCATTAAATGGCACGCCTAGTCTCTCTGCGTGCCTACATAATAAGATATGTCTTGCAAGAAGACCTATAACTGTAGACATATCCTTCCTTTTCAGCTCAATAAGATCAGGTGACTTTTACTGTTTCATTCTCACATTATATGTGTTAAGACTTCGCCATCTTTAGTTAGCGTCATTAATGAATAACTCTCCTGTATTGAGCTTACAAGGGGAGAGCGACATGCCCACACTCTACCATGATGGCGAAAGTGGAAATTAAGTGCCCTTTCTTGCAAGCTCGTCCGCCATTTTACCCACCTTATCTGGTATGTAGCTGTGACCCGGGACCCATACTAAGTTCAGGGAGAACTGTTTGGCCACCACGTTAAGTGATATGCGCCAGTCCCCTACGGTTTCAGATTTTACTGTTATAGAAGATATGGATATGTTTATCCTAAAGTACCAATGAGGTGAGACAATTGTTAGCCTCATGTATGGTCACAACGGGGAGTAGATCTAAGAGAACACTAATTGCCTCAGTTGGTGTAGTATAAAGATTACAACCCCGTAGGGAAATATAGGCCTAGCATTTGTGATGTAAAGCCAACGCACTATTTTGGTTGACTTGCCCAACTTTCAGCCTTTCGCATCCTTTCCTCTGAGTTCTGTGACCAGCTTAAGAGTCCCAGGTATAGAGGGAATGCCATTAATTGATTACTTGCCAAAGCGAACTACGGCTAGTATTACGCTAATTCGTTGAGTCAGGCGCACGTGAGGCAGTCGTACAGAAGAGAGATGACAAGTTAGCGTGCGGAGTGCCGTTTCTTTAAGACAACGCAGCCGTTCACACCGCTCGGGTTGCGAGGAATGCCTTAAATGCTACTGGATTTATAGAAATTGACCATCCACTCTACAATCTGGACCTAGGTCCTAAAATTATCACGGCATTTTCATTTAGTGTAAATGAATTTCGAACTAACACATCGAAAGGGCACCCTAAGATTAGACCCTGGAATGAACTTCTTATTCGAGGAATGGAGGAAGAAGCCATTTCAAATTCGGCTTAAGGGTGCTACTGACAAGTCCTCCCAAAATTAAATAATTAATGGAGCTTCTTTTTATAAAAAGTCTCTATTTTGATATCCCTCAATAAAAGGACACGACAATCGTAAAAATATGTGTTGGTATCAGCCTACGCCAAGAGTTACAGTTAATTTAATCTTAGACAATTCCATGACATACACATACGCGCAGATCTTCAGCCGTTACGTTTGGCAGCGAGCATACGGGAATGGGGCAGACGACATTGACTAATGCTATGCAAGCGATATTGCATCTCCGGTTGATTGATGCGCTCATATAGTTTCTTCAAAACCGTATTCAGACTTAGTATACCCTCGCCCTCGGTATCATCGACATTGGTGGCATCGGCTTCGCCACACTCTGGACATTGCTGGGTGAGCACGATCTCATCGAGTGGTGTTGGACAATCGCAGACCTTAATAACATCTCGGACAATGTATTCACTCGAACGTTTGACCAGGCGACGCTCGCGCATATATTGAGCGACGGTTATGGCATGTATGCGTTTTTCCAATATCTTCAAAAAGTGACGCATATTGAAGAGATTGACCTTGCTGAAGTCACCCAATAATGCTTCGAGCGACTTACAATCGGCACGTGAGTGATCCTTGATTAGCTGTATGCCTTGTAGGAGTTTCTCCAGCCGTTCATCGTTTTGATCGCACACATTACGCAAATCATCATTCTTCTGTTGTTTCTCCTTCAAGCTGTGCTCCAGGTCCTCGATGGTTTCCAGTTGGTTTTGCAAAGTGTTGTGATTGGTATGTTTCAGTGCGGAGATTTCATTAAATAAACGATTAACGGAATTATTCAATAATGTCATGTGATAGCTCATCTCATTCGCATAGTTAAAGTAGGAGTAGTAAAGGCTCTCCTGCTCTTGGAATTTGTTAATGACAGAATCCACATCGTTGGAATTAGTGTAGGCTAGAATTTTCTGTAATATTGTATTGTAAAGATCGATGCGTTTACGATGCTGTTGACGGAATCTTTCACGTCTGCGGTACTCTTTCGGCTGCAAATCATCCATCACACGTCCGCGTGCCTTACAATCCAAAAAGTCCAACTTAGCCTCCTCCGCTGCTCTATTCCGCATTATCGCTTGCATTTCAACCATTTTCATTTCCATATCCTTTCCCTCCTTCTTCGTCAGTATATTGATCTTCTCATAGGCGTGTATACAACTCTCGAAAGTGGCCAATGCATACTCGATCAAGTCGATAATGTATTTCCGATCGCTATTCAGCTTTTGCACCAGTTTCGTGTAAATATCATTGAAAATGGTGCGATGCTGTAGCAACATTATCAATTCCTCGCGCAGTTTACTATTGATCGCTGCAAAGGCGCATTCGGTGCGCACACCAACCTCCAATTGATTCTCCAATATGTCCAACTTCTTGCGCATGCGTGCCACGTACGCTTGATGCTGCGAGTCGGGTACGGTGCGTCGATTTAGCTCGTACACTTGCTTATTGACGCGACTAATCTCACGTTCCATGTTGGTTATGGATGTCTTAAGGTACTTGATATCATCGCCCAAATGTTCCTGGCAGGTGACGTGACATCGTATATTTTGCAGCGCGCGGTTTGTCGTGTGGCGATGCGTTTCACCATTGGCAACCCATATTTGTGCGCGCAACGTGTCCTTTTCCAAACGCAACTGATCAATGGAGTTTTGATAGCTTTGCATGACAATCGTGTCCTTGCGCGTGCTCAGCTTTGTCGACAGTATCATCTTGTATTGACGCTGTCGGCGAGTAAGCTCTCTCTGCTTCTGCCAGTAAAGCTCAAGGAAGGTCTTCTTGTTAAACTCTTGACTTGTAGTTTCAGTCATTGTGCTGCTAAATTTCGATAACCGTTGTCACGCTGCGAAAAAATATCGTGATCCACTTGAATATATAAATAGAAGGCGTTCGTTCCTCTTATCGTTGCGAATAAATTATTTTATTAAATAAAATAATGCGCTGATGTGCGGTGCTCCAATTACAATAATTAATCTAATGACTGAATTGAAAATTTTCCTTTTGACAATAACAGCATAAAGTTGTTAAAAATTGGGTTATCGAGTTTTGAAAATTACTCTCCACTCAATAGGGTATTCAATGAGTCTCCGATGTGCAGTATAGCTAAGTGCGGTGCTAGTTACCTAGGCTAGTAACTAGAGAGGGTCTTGGCGGAGCGAACAAGCGGGGTCTAGCGAAGGATATATATCCATTCTTCTCTTTCTAGTGCCTTGCTCCGCGAATGAATTTAGGGGATTAAAGTGTCTACCTACTTCTATCATACCTAACGAGATACCTCGCATTAATTATAAACGCTTGGGATAGAGGTTCACTGATTCACCATTGGAGCTAATAAACAAAAACAGCGGGCTGGAATATCAAATACTGCCACGGTCGGGCTAAGCGCTGTCGTCGACGGCCGCACCTTTACTGCTAAGGGAAGATAGAACTTCTAGTTCCTAAATCTAACTGACACTACAGATCTGGGATGCCACAATCCAGATAGTCGGAAAGAAGAAGCCTCGCTATGCTCTTCGTGGGATGTCAAAGCCACGCCATGAGTCATGTATCTGAAATATGCTAATCAGATCGAGGAATGAATGTCAGCTAAAAGACAGCTGTCAATTGCAACCGACGCACCGAGCTCTTTCAAAAAATCGAAGCGTAGAAGCGATGCTGCAAAGCCAAATTTCAGGTTCGATCAAGGCCGGGAGACAGCCACGGATGATAGTGTGAAACTCATTGAACGAAGAAAATATATTCGGAGCGTTAGAGGCCAGTACAGCTTTAGCTGCTGGATACCCTCTCCGCGAAAATGGAAGGGATTCCAACACGATCATACCAACTTTCGATGATGCGAGATGGTTGAATGGAGCTGTAGATTATGAAACGCAAAAGATGATTCTTGCGGCTTCTGTAGGTATAGAACCCAGATGCGCCAACTTACAAATAAACAATCTGGCTGAAGAAGATGTTTGGGAAGATGTTGTGGGGCATACATAACCGATAACAAAGTGAATGTACTGGAAGATCGAGAAGTTGAGAAGGATCTGTGAAAGATTCTGGAGCCGCCTTAGAAGGAGTTTTCAGGCTCTACCTCAATGAACGTTCTTGACATTATTATCCACATAAGAGAGGGAATGAAAAAAAAAATAAAATAAAAAAAATTAAAGCGGCGAATTAGTATATTTGCAGTCCCACTTACTATCCCCGTCACCCCCTCGGATCAAAGCTTTATTAGTGGTACATTAGGCCTGCAGCCTCCATCTGGTACTATAAGGGATCAACGCGTCTATATTAATCGCACCAACCGGACAGTTTAACTTAACTTTACCTATTATTTATACCTTGTTTCAAAGGACTATTCATCGGAATAACTTACGGTTTAGTACTAATCATAGTTTAATCAAGGAAGTTCTTAACTCACCGGCATTAAAAGACTGGTGTCGTATTGCATCTTGTTACAGCTACTTTTTTTATACACAATTCATTTATTTACTGGATCTGCTATAATATGAGCCTAACAGTAAGTGTACAAATCTTAAGAACTGAATTACAAACATGAAAGCTCGAGTTATTTAACTCAAACTACGGCGCTCTCCTTAGAAGGCGGGAACAACTCTTCTATGCAGGCGGGAATTTCTCGATGGGTTGCGTAAAGTATTAGCTAGCGGATTTGGATGATTTCTCAGGCTGATGAATGCTAACGTTACGAACGTACCTTGGTGCGCCCGTTAGTGTTCTTAAAATTTTGGACTGGAACCTCTGTATTTTATCAGTATTAGATGCACAGGTCGTACCCCACAGTTGAATACCATACATTCAAATTGGTTTTAATACTGCGTTGTCTAGTTTTTGCTGCTCTTTTAGGGCGTTTGTCCTTAGCTACTGACGCAACTTATAGGTATGCCACAAAAACGTATACTTTCCACATCGAGAGGTGAGGTATTCAGTTGTGAAACATACACTTGAGCGACCTCTAACAGCATATTTCAGAAAAGTAACATCATCGCACTCCGAGGATCCAAGATTGGCTTAGATTGGTATCATGTCGCAGCGAAATACGCACCCGGCCGGAAAACAAAAAAGGAAGGGAGTCGCGATGCCTGAGTATAAAAAGCTTGAGTAGCTGGCGAACTGGTGGATTACCTGTCGAACTATTCAAATTCGGCTGGGAAGAACTTTTACGGTGCATTCATCTGCTTCTTTGCAAAGTACGGTCGGATGAAAGCATGCACGACGATTGTAACCTAAGTGTGCTCTGCCCAACCCACAAAAAGAGCGATCGCTCTTTAAATTAAACGTAGTACCACTCTCGCCAACAGGCGCTACTTTGGACTGAGTAGACAATTGAAAAGTAAAGTCCATTCTCGACCAAACTCTACAAGTTGTTTATCCTTCCCGTCCTGCTATATGGTACGGAGAATTGGACGATGACAACATTTGATGAGTCAGAGTTAGGAGTTTAGAAGAAAAAGGTTTTGCGTAGGATTTATGGTCTTGATGAGCTGCATCAGATATAAGGCGGCATTGGCATAATTCAGCGAATCAATAAACAGCGGCTACGCTGGCCCAGTCATGTGGTCCGGATGGATAAGAATACTCCAGCTTTGAAAGTTTTCTATGCTGTACCACTCTGTTGGAAAGACCAGGCTGAGACGGACCTGGTTGAACTTGGTATCTCCAATCGGACCCGGAAGAAATGAATGGCGCAATGTTATAAATTCGGCTATAATCGCGTAAGGGGTGTCAACCGAAGACGATGGTATGATATGAACGAAGTCTATGGCGACATTGACATATTTCAGTGAATGGAGAGACCGCGGTAACGCTGAATAGCGCTCCAGCTTTGAAAGTTTTTGATACCGTACCCGCAGTTGGAAACAAAGGAAGAGGAAGACCTTCACTTTGTTGGAAGGATTAGATGGAGAGCGATTGGGCTTCACTTGGTTTCACGGAGGCGAATAGTTGGATCAAAGTACTGCAGTTTACAGACAAAGTTCAACATATTTTTTTACAGAAGGTTCTAAAATTAATGGTGGAGTGGTTCCTTACAATCATAAACAGGCCGTGGCTTCACTATGTAGGAAACGGTCAAAAGGTTTGCTCTAATTAGAAATGTTTAAAGTTGCTGACGATGCAGTTGACCTGACGAACTGACGTAAAATAATAATAAAATAAAATTAGTAATTTAGTTTCGTCTGGCGAGCCAACTTTTGGAACTAGCAGGCCGCTAGGAGGACTATTAACGGAACATTGTACCAACTTAAGAGTATATGAAATGCAGAACACAGTGCAGCATATGGTGGGAAGAGGGTAGGTTGAAGGTAAAAACAGTGAGGTTCATAATTTGTGAGTGTCCAGCGTTCGGTATTCAGAGGCTATGTTTATTTGGCGCGGAAAAGCTGCGCCTTCAATCAGCAATGAACCAAAGCAGCTTCTTCTTCTTCCCTTTCGAGCTGGAGAAGTTTCGAATGTTAGAATAAGAAAAAAGTGCTAGTTTCGACTGATACCTTTCATGAACATATCAAATTTATTTCAGTATTAAATGTTAATTTTCATATCTGAAATCGGTTGTAAGGACCCTATATGATATAGTCTTCTCACTGCGATGATTTTCAATGTACTTTTTTATTTTAATTCACTTGTGTATACCATCAAATCAGGTGTACAACTTTGCTTCCGCCGTTTTTTTTATTGCGAAAAAGTGCTTACAGATACATTATTCAAAGTATTGTCCTTCGCTATCGACAACTTTCTCCCATCTTTCCGGCAATTTACGGATCCCGGCTCGAAAAAAGGAGTCCTCTTTTGGCGCTATCCATGAAGCAATCCATTTATCCAATTCTTCGAAGGATTGAAAATGTTGATCTGCCAGGCAGTGTGCCATCGAACGGAGTAGGTGGAAGTCAGAAGGGGCGACGGCGGGGAATACGGCAAGTGGGGCAAGACTTCCCATTTCAGCGTTTCCAGGTAGTTTTTGACCACTTTTGCGGCGTGAGGCCGAGTATTGTCGTGTTGGAGGATGACTTTGTCATGTCGCTCTTGATATTGTGGCTGCTTTTCTTTTAGCGCGCGACCAAGGCGCATCAGTTGCGTTCCAAATATAAATCATAACCACCATGTTTGTCTTCGACATCGAAATCACCATTTTTAAAACGTGGAAACTACTCCCGACACGTTCTTTCACTCAGAGCAGCATCACCGTAAGTTTCTGAGAGCATTCGATGCGCTTTTTTTTCGAATTGCAATAGAAAAGTAAAAGTTCCCGCAGATGGCGAGAATCAGGCACATAAACGGACATTTTCGAGCGTGAATAATACGAAAACAAGAGCAACTGTCACTGAAACGGCGATGACAATTCGTTAGGCACTGTCCACACTCACTTTAAAGGCATTATCATCTATGTATTTCAACCAGCGTCAGCCGGTACAGCCCCGTATCGGAAAACGGCGGAAGCAAAGTTGTACACCTGATATTTCACGCACTTAGAGGCTTTTCTGTCGGATTTTTTTTTTATCCAAAACCTCATTTAAGAATAAAACGTTTATATGGGCGCTATGTGATGTAGTTCATCGGCTTCGATCATTTTCAATGATAAATGACGGAGGTTCAACCAAAAACTTTATATCTGAATAAAGCGGTTGTATGGGGGCTTCATATTATATTGGCATAATCCGGCCGGTTCCGACAAATTTTCAATCTAGTATTACATTGTATTTGTGTGCCGTATTTGATAGAAATACTTATATCGATAACTGAGCGGCGGACAAAGAGACAGACGGATGAGCAGATGAATAGGCGAACAGATAGACAGAACGACGGACATGCGTGGTTAAATCAATACAACTCGTCCATCGTGAGGACCTTTTTTCTCATTCTTAACTATTCTTTGTGTGTAAAAGTTATTTTCAGACTAAAACTCTGTGAGAAGTTTCACAACTTTTCAACTACAAGGTTTCTCCATATTCGCAAAAATATTATTTTGTTTTATAAATTTGAGCATTTATTTATTTATTTCATTTTAATAATTGATATTTTTGTTTGTAGTAATAATTATTAGTTAATGGCTAATTAAATTAATCATTTAAAACAACTATACATATAATAATATTATATATATTCATACATACATATATTTGTAATTATTTCTACAATTTTTACAGCTAAAACATTAAATTTTTTATACATACATACAAATATGTAGTTTAAATATCATTTTTTTTGTAAAAAATAGTGCATAATACTTAAGAAATAAATTATTGCTATTCAGATTTAATGCATATGTATTTGTATATGTAAAGGACAAATAAAAATAGTGTAGTACTTCCTTACTTTAAACCAAATAAAAAAAAAATTTAAAAATTTACATAAATTTTATAAAAAAAAAATAAATATGAAGTATTAATAAAAATATGTATGTATGTATGTAAGAGAAAAAACGCTGTAAACTTGCGGAAGCACTCGTATGTATATTAATATATATGATAATGTAGAAACAACTTTTAGCCTGAAAGCTATTTGTTATTTTGTATTTTTTTTTTATTAAATTAAGAATTAATCACGTTGATTGACTTTAAACATTGTTGGGTTGGTTGGTTGGGTTGGTTGGTTGGCTGAAGTACGAGGTTTGCACTTTGATCGCAAAGGGATTTTAAGCTTAATTTGCCAAAAACAGATTGTTTTTTTTTTCAATTATTTTTCTTTTATGTTTTTATTAACATTTTCTGTCCTTAAACATTTTCTTTTGGTTCATATTGGAAAAATATTTTTACTTCAATTTCTATGATTTAGAGTTCTTGTTGTTGTGATAGTACTGGGTTGAACATGTGATGACTGTACAAAAGTTTTCATGTAACATTTTTTATGGATTCGCATCCTCTTCACTATTAATATTATTTATTACTTTAAATGTGTATTTACTTATTTTCATTGCATGTGAATTTCACCTCTCGGTAAATTTATGTATGTAGTTATGGCAATTTTGAGTAAGAATATCAAAGCGCATTAGAATTAATTTTTATTTTCTAAGAACAACATTTGTAATGTACCTTTTGCAAAAAAAAAAAAACTACCGTGTACTGTTTTAGGAAGCATACTCGTATATTGTTGTTTGCATTATATTTTTATTTCTTCTTATTTTTTATTTCATTTCATTTTACTTTAAATTATCAAAATACTTTTGTATCAAATATATTAGATTAAATTATATATTCATATATTATGTTTTATTTAATTTAATTTTATTTAATTTCTTTTATTTATATTGTTTATCATTTTAACTCATTTCATTCAATTAACTTTATTTTTTCATTTTATTTTAAATTATTTTGTTTCAATTTATTTCATTTTGGCTCTTTTAATTTATGTTATTAATTTAAATTTATGTTCTTTATATTAACTGCTTTAACATATAAAATCTTATTGCATTATATTTTCTTGAGTGTTACATTTTGTTATATTCAATCTTTTCATTTAAAATATTATTTTTTCTAAATTTGTTTTCATTTTAAATTTTATTCTGTTTCACGCTACTTGACTTTATTTATTTTACTAATTTTTTACTTCATTTAATTTTTTTAATGATTTTTTTAAGATCAATCTATTTATTTCTTCATTTTATTTCTAATCCTTTAAAGTGTTATTTTACTTCAGTTTGTTAAATTTTATATTTTTTATTCGGCTTAATTTTATAACATTGTCTTTAGTTTCTTTTTCAAAATATTTTACTTTGTTGTAGATTTTCTTATGTTTGATTATTCCTTTTTAATTTAATTTTTTTTTATTAATTTATTTAATTTTTATTTTATTTTATTTTATTTTATTTTATTTTATTTTATTTTATTTTATTTTATTTTATTTTATTTTATTTTATTTTATTTTATTTTATTTTATTTTTTATAACTTTTACTAAGATTTTTGTTTTCCGTATTTGGTTTTGACTCATTTTATTTGATTTAAATTTTATATAATTTTTTTTTTCATGTTATTTTAATTTAGATTTTTCGCTGTTTTGCGTTGTTTTATTTCATTTTGTTTTACTTGTTTTAATTTTACTCTATTCATTTTTATTATAGATTTTATTATATAATATTTTATGTTATTTTTAAATTTACTGATATCTAATTTTTTCAGTATTTTAACATTGTATGTTTCAATTTGTTTTGTGACTCGTAGTCTGACATAATTTTTTAACCGTTTTATTTTTTAATGAACTATGTACATTCCTTTATAACTAATTAAGAATATAAGATGTTAATAAATTAAAATTAAAGATATGAAATTTTGCGATTTAAAACATTTTAGGCACTAAAAACTTTTTAAAATTTCATTTGTGTTGATTTTTTATGCTCCAGCGAGCTAACTTAAATGTTAACAAAATAATATATACAATGCTTGGATTTTATAGCAAATTTAAATAATAACCCTAAAACTTGTTTACTAAATATTTATAATATTCAAATCCTAGTAAATGTAATTGTTAAAACTTTTGTGCAAACTTAAAATTAACATCACGATTTTTCGCTTCTCACTTCAGCAATAAAGTTGTGTTTTTTTTGTTTTGTTTTGTTTGACGCCATTTTTCGTATGCTTTCGCAAGTATTCCTTATAGCACGCTACGTATGTTTGTATGCCTTTGTGTACATATAGTATGTTTCTAAGTGTGTATAATCTCCTCAAACAAATTAATTTAAATCATTAAATTACTTAAAATGTTAAAACATGAGTAAGCACAGAAAATAGCAATTTATTATAAATATGTATAAAGGTATGTGTGTATATTTAAAAATAACCGCATGTGTATGGACACACTTCTATCCATATATGTGTAAAAATATGTATATTTAATGTACTTTTAAAAATTAAGCACATTCGGAAGAATCCACAGTTACAAGCAAGCACCACACTCGCATCTCCTGCACAGCACTTCGAAGAGTAACGTCTGCCCACGCTGGCGACTCGAGCCACAGAAGCGAGGAAGAACGAGAAACTATTATGTAGTTCATCGATGATCTCATAGCTTTTGAGCATTGTCAAGTTCGTCGCCTATAGTTAGTGCAAAGCTCTATTGTAACTTATGTGGGTGGTTGGCTTGGGGGCTCGTTGCTGTGTGTAGAGTCAAAGCTTGATTTAATACGCTACCTCGGTTTGTAGCCTTCAATTAACGCTCTAATCATCATCCTTCTTATCTGTTTTGAGGTCATATTTAGCGCATAATTCTTCTGGCGTATAGCTGTTGTATAAAAATAAATTAAAATTATATTAGAATAACTTTCACATGCGGTCACAATTCCAATGCAACCTACCCAATCAGGTTTTGTAGATCACAAACAAATTTATAGACATAACGTTTGCCGGCCGTCTTGTGGATGATATTTTTGTCATAATAATAGCGTAGACCACGGCTGAGCTTTTCATAGTTCATTTTCGGCTTGTTTTTGCGTATACCCCAACGACGGGCAACCTGAAAAAATGATAATAACGGTGTAGTATTCAAGAATGTGTTAAACAACAAGAAAAGACGATAGAAAACCCATAGCCAAGCTATGATTTAATTAGATTAAGAAAATTACACACTCGCAGTTGTTTACGGAAGATAATTCCACACTCACCTCATCAGGATCGGTCAACTTGAATTCCCAGCCATCACCAGTCCACGAAATGAAACCCTGACACGTTTTATCCATCAACAGTTCCAGCAGAAATTGCCACAGCTGTATAGGACCGGAGCCGGTGAAACAAGGTACACCACCCTGCATGGGATACGCGCCCATCAGTGCCTTCTCCAAGCTCATCGTATTCATATATGCCGCCGAATGTTGACCCGCATGGTGGACACCCCATTGATCGGCCGACGTTTGGCCAGGCATGGTAGGAAATCTTGTGGGATCATAAGAACCATACTCAGTGCCATATGCATCGGAAAATGGTGTACGCCCATAAGCATTATACTTTTGTTCATTGTTCGGCACAGTTATCCCGTAAAAATCGGCACTTGCATCCTGATAACTCTGATGTTCTTGCGATGAAATCGTGCTATTGTAATCATTGTCATCATAGTGTACACCCGACGCAGCAGCTACAGCGGCAGCAGCCGCCGCCCCGGCCAAATGTGGGGGTAGACCATAAACTGATGACACCGATAGATCAGCGGGATCGGTTTGACCGTTACTGCTACCGCTGCCCAAGCTGGAGTAACCCGATGTATTCTGTGTGCCGGGTTCCTCTTTCATCTGATGCTGCGTGTAGAGCGCTGCTGCGGCAGCAGAATTTCGTATCGCCACATGCATGTAATTCATATTGGCACTATTGTTGTTGTTGTGGTTGTTCTGGGTCTGACCATTCGCCTGATTGGCGTTCACCGCTGACGCATTGCTGTTGGCGGTCGAATTGGACTGCTGGGATTGCTGCTGTTGCTGTTGTTGTGTATGGGATAGGAGCGAACCGTTATTCTGCGATTGCTGCTGTGTTTGTGGAGGCGGGCTGTTGTTACTGTGATCGTGCGGATTGCTGTTATAGCCTGAAATTAACAAAAAAAAATTAATTAGGAATTTTTTTTGCATATAAATATGGATGTACTTAAATTTTAAGGAAATAGTAAGATAAAGAATGATACATACATACATATAAGAGTGCCATTAATTTATCTTCTTTTAAAGTATTCGCATAACCTTGCTTATTTTTACTTAATTTCGCACGTTTGCATGTTACATCTTCAGACTTACTTTTTCTATTTTTTTCTATTTCTGCTACAAATATGATTAATGCTTGTGCAAATAGGCATAACTCACGTATTGGCTAAGATAAATAGTGAAAACGGCAAAATGGGCTTAAAACATATACTAGATAGTCGAGGCAATGAAGCCAAATAAGACAGACGGAAGTCATTATTTTGCTCAGAAAGGGTGCGAGATCTGCTACTCGATATCTTTCAAATATCGAATAATAACTATGAAAATGAATTGTGGACTATTCGGTGTCTGCTGTTTTTGAATTTAAAAATAAAAACGACTCACAGTATCTTAGCTCTTCTCTGGGACACCCATGAAACATGGCAGCACTAATTGCTACCTTTAAACCCATAAGTGGCTTTTGAGTAAAAACTCGCCTCTCCCCGTACAGCAATTTTTCACCACACACAAAAGGCTAATGGACTATATGTAAAACGTTTATTTTATAATTTTGTTTTTTGGTTGTTCAAGATATATTCGGAGACATTGGCCACATTTAGAACTCGAAGTGGATGTAAAAAATCGTGGTAAAATATTTAGAGGAGGTTATATTTATGAAAGACGTTTGGACTGGTTAGGGTATTGAAAAGTGAAGTCATCTCTTGTTGTACAATCCCATACTACCACATGGCGCCGAAGCGTAACCGTTGACAAAATCTACTAACTGGGCGCTTAGAGTTTTCGAGAGAAAGAGTTAGCGAACGAATTATGGACCTTTGTGCCTTGGCAATTGTGAATACCACTGTCAATATAACTGTGAGCTGTATGAGATATGCGACGGTTTTAACATAGCTCAGCGATGTGGGAAGGGCAGCAGATAAAGACCCCCATTTCGCCGGAATAATAAGTTGGAGAAAGACTCGATTACACTTGAAACCAGCTCTGAAAGTTCTTGAGGCAAGGTACGGTGAAAGCAGAGAAAGACTCCTGCCGCGTTGCATAGCTTAAGGGGAGCGAATCGCATGCTGTTGTTATCTAGGTTTCTATGCCAATAAACAGGAGAGTCTTTTTTATTTGCTGAACAGAGAGTATTTTAAAATTTAATGAAAATTGATTAGCAAAAAAAAAAAAAAAAAGAAAAATTATTAAAACGAAACATATACATATGTACATATGCATGTAATTTAAAAATTGTGCATAATCCCAATCCCGATTTCTGTGAGAAACTTTCTATTTTGTGTAAAAACAACACTCGGAACGTTTGGCTTTCATTCCCCCTTGAAATATTACATGAGCTTAATTTCTGACTAAAACCAAATAAACTCAAAACTAATCAAGTGTGTTATAAAGCACATATAGCTAGCTACATTCTCATACACATACAAATGCACGAGATTTTTTGAAAAAAAGAACTTCTGCAGCTTTATCTTTCTCAGAAGGCGTGCCCCATTATCCAATCATCTTCTTTTCATAATACTTTAACGCATACTACAAGGTACAATTACAACACAACCTCAAAGCATTCGTATGCACCCCAGAAAGCACAATAAGCACCGCTGATTTGATGAAATTCGAAAACCAATCAAAAATCATCTCAACACCAATACTCATGACAGACAACATAAAATGAGCTCCAAACGTGTATTTGAAGAAACAAAAACACGAAATTCTCACACATATGAAATTATCGACGCGACGACACATTAACGAACCCAACCTGTAATGGCTAACAACAGCAGCGAGAGCAGCAGAGCAAATGAATCGTGTGATTCTCCCCAACGGCGTTACCGACGCTGACAACCTCGTCGCGAGCAAATGTACGCGAGCAGAGCGCATTGCTCCAATTGAGTGCTCCACCGGTATGCCTTGGCCAGGCAATTGTAATTGAAATGTGGGTAAAGAATTTACATAAATATATACTACATACATATATACTGTATACAATGTATGTATGTACGCACAATGCTTGGAAACTGGCGAGTGAATGTTCATTCAAATATTTATGACATGCAGCTGTACAATGGGTTTTTTTTTTCAATTGAGTAAAACGGCTATTCGAAAGCTTTAGTTGCATGGAAATGTTCTTTTGTGCGAAAAACCTGTTGAATATGAGGAAGAATAATAAATAATATGCAAAAGAACAAAGAGAACAAACAAAAACAAATTCATTCAGCTGACACTATGTGAGCAGAAAGGCGATTTCATTCATTCGTTCATTCATTTACAGGCAAAGAGTTAATTCATAAGAACTACTTGGCCTTTTGGTGGTACGGTACACGTTCAAGCTGCATCAAAGCAGTTCGCTTTCCTTCCAACAGCTCGATGACGACTGTCTCTGTCTGTTGCTCGCATATGTGAAAATGTGTTTGATTTTCTTTTTTTTTTTGGTTTCTTAAGCACTCGTACATACATACGTGTGAATGTAAAACTACGTATGTCTGTACATGTCATTGGGGTATAAATCTACTTTCGATACTGCGCAGATACATGAGGCAGAGATGTGATTCCACTCATTCACACAGTCATATTTGCTTAAATACGAGTATGTACAAAGGTATGTATGTATGTATTTATTTATTTATCAAGATGAGGCAATGAGGCGCTGCGAAGATTACTCCTCCTACTTGACACACATACATACATACATATAGTATATGAGTGCTTAGAGTTGCCCTGTAGGAAAGTTTTTTAAGTACACATACATACATATATGCTCGATATGCTCGGCCGAAAATCGCTTCAGCGGTTACATACATATCCATATATATATATATTACATATTTCTAAAATAAATGAATTTAAGGAAAACATAGCAGCCCATTTTTTCGCAACAGATTTCGTAAAAATTATCCAGTTTTCTGCCTTTAGAAGTTTGTAAATAATGCTGTGCCAAACAGAATGGTAAAAACTTTATATAAGATCTCAAAAATTAATGCAAAATACGAATTAAGTAGAAATAACGAGTTTTAGTTTTCGTTTACTTTTTTTTTGTTTGATCATAATTTGTTAGATAATTAGCAAAACAATTATGTAGCTTAAACATACTTCAAAATGATAAGAGTAAAGGAGGAGTTCTAGAAAATATATGATCTCTTCTGAATGGGTCTAAATGCGAAAGGGTCTCTACTTCGAAGCCCAAATATATAACAAAATTCATATAATTCCAATAAAAAAACCGAAGTTCGAGGTTAAACAAAAAATTTGCCCAATTCGAGATTCAACTTTCATATTTACGAGAGAGCGTTTTTATATTCGTGGAATGTGAGATAAAAGGTTGACAAAAAAAATCTAGAAGTCGTATATATTTTTTCAAAACATTCAAATAATTTACTTATATCCTCAAAATTAAAAATAAAACTGCCTTCTGACTTCATACTGGGTGATACAAAAAAAAAAATTTTTAATTTTTGGAAATAGGTTATGATCGTGCGGGGTCAGGTTTGGGCTATAGAGTGGGTGATTCAAAATATAACGAAGTTCAACTTAAGCAGGGTAGCCAACGCATCGCGGGTCTTGTAAAATGGCGTATTGTTGCGCAAAAGCAGCACACCTCTTGTCAATTTCCCCCGTTGTTTCACTTTAATGGCTTCTTTTAGTCGTTATAGTATTGAAGTTTAGTATTCTTTAGTTATAGAAACAGAATGATACAAAAAACAAGATAGTTTCATTCAAAATTTTTTCCAAAAATATTAAGCATCTAACATAAGAGACTATTTGACTTTTGCCTTATTTTTGTGCTACCAATTTCATTTCAAAAAAAAAATTTCAACTTACTAAAATTAAAAAGAAAAATATTTTACAATGTTAAAAAAAAATATAAAGCAAATTAAAACGTACCATCAAAAAATGTAAAGGCTTTACATAGTATTATCTAAAATCTAATTTAAATAAAATTATTTTCGGGAAGCTTAGCATTGTTTTTTCCTCTCAATTTTATATTGAAGATCATGAGAAACACCTTCCTTTTGTTATAATTTTCCATTTCAACTTTTGATATCATCAAAAAAAAAAAAATATGTACAACAAAATTTGTATTAACGATAAATAATGTGATGGTTTTCTGAAAAAAATGTTAAAAATTGAGCAAATATTTCCGTAAATAAACAGATTTGAAAAAACATACATACATATTTTGCAAAATGCAGACACAGTGAAGCAAACAAAAGGGTTTGTAGAAAGATGATTTTTTCATACCCTTCAAATTCAGATTTATTTTAACAATAATGTTGGATTTTTTTTTTAATTTTGTCGCGACTGTGCCCTAAATAAATGTATTTATTTATTTGAGGAGGTCATTGCTCCAATCAAAACTAGTACTTAGTATAATTCAATTCAAAATTCATTAAATTCAAGCACTTAATCAAGTCACAAAAATAAAAATTTTTTCTTTCATTTATCTACTATATATGTATGTATCTAAGTGTGTACATTTGTATATAGTGGATATTCTATGGGCTGACTTTTGCCATAAACCATCAACCAAATCGCACAAACAATGGACTTAGTTAGTCAAATGACAATAACTATTTTCATTCATACATACACTACATACATATTTACATGCAAACATACATATACATATATATTCAACACACAACATTACTTAGCTAGTATGTGAGTATATGTATATTGTATACATACATATATAATGTTTAATACCAAATCACAGCCACTCAAAAAACCCCACATGGCGGGGTGCCATTTTCGCTCGCAGAGAAAAAAAAACTGCGGGCAGAACAAAGCCAAACTGAAACTTGTTGATTCACAGTGCTGCGGTCGATCGCATGGCGGTTCACTGTCACTGCGGTTGTAATACATGCTTAAATACTTACACACACATACAACGTGCACAACGACTTGTTGCTATAAATTCTTTACTGTTTAAGCGTCTGCGTACAACCCTCGTATGTTTAACAGCCACCCACAGGCGACGTCATACACAGTGACACATACATACATACACGCATAGATATATAATGTGTGAATGTAATACACACCGAAAAATTATTGCCCACAGTACGTATTTACATACATACATTCATACATACATACATTTTACTGTACATTTGAATGCTTGGGAATTTAAATAAATTGCAATTTAATTACTTGAAATGTTGTTGTAGCATTGTAATATGCCGCGCACACTTCAACATTTCTCACTCATCCCAAATGGTTCTCGGCCCACAACCCACCAACAGCAAAAAGTATACAAAAGAAATGTATTTAAATAAGTTAGCATACACCTATGTACATCTGCATGTAGGTATGTGAATGTGTGTGTGACTGTGTATGTGTGTTTGCGTTGTGTTTGTGTGCATATTTTGCGTCTATATTTATATTTACATTTATCACAAGTTCACACCCTCGCGTTAGTGCGCAATTAACTTGCAAGCGCGTTGGTGAGCGCGTAATTAAAGTTTCATTTTATTTCAGTACAATTGTACATTTGCATGTACATATGTATGTTTGTGTTTAGTATGTATCAACTTGTTAAGTACATATTTGTGGCATGCAACACGAAATCTCACTTTGATGTCAATATTAATTCTCTTTGCCAGGCGAGCGACGGCGGCTTTGGGAGTTGCTACCTACTTGATGGTTAATAAATATTATATGTATATACTCATCTTTTAAATTAAGCTTGTCACTTTATTTGACTTTTGAGAGTGCCGCAGGCATAGATGTTTTGTGTTAATGATGGTGTCAAACGCTTAAATGTTTGTAATTTAACATCTTATCAAACAACAAATTTGTACGTAAACACGATTTTTAATTAAGATATCCTTATGAGGCTAATTATTAGCTTGACGTGCAGTCAGGATGCAAGTTTTTTGTTTTAGTTAAATTAAATATTTTTCATAGGCGATTAGTATATATTTAAGACAATATATTATTTATTATAATTGTTAAGTCCTAAAATAATATCACCAATTTTTAAAGAAGGAGTAAAGTTTTACAAAAATTCAATGGAAAGCACCAAAAAAAGACAATTAAAAAATGAAAAAATGTTCATTTAAAAAAATTTTAAATTTTAAATTGCGAAAGGGAGGAAATTTGGATGCCCGTCATAAGTTTTTAATTGCGTTTGCAATACCCATAAATCATTTCAATAAACAGAGATGCTTAACGAACGCAGAAATATCATTTCGTTTCGCCAACAAGAAAAATTAACACAACGAAAAGAAATCGTTTTGTTTGTGCGCCATATTATCTAAACGAAATGAAAGTGTTAATGTTAAGCCGCGATAACTCATCGTTAACGTTAATATGAAAATGGGTGCTTGCTTTGTTTTAACAGCACACTTCGATTTATCGCTTAACATTATCTGTTAACGGCTTAACATTAATGATAGCTTTTCGTTTTGGGTAACAATGGAAATAAATAATAATATTTGATAACTGCTTTAATGTTAATATTTCCGAAACAATAGAAATTATTTGGTAAGGGTGAAATTATCGCTACGAATCAGCTTTTATAATAACATTAACTATTAGTTGCAGTAATCATTGCAGTAATCATTGCAGTAAAGAAGCAATGTTTTAATTATTTAAAAGTTAATTTTGGCGATTTACGGCAATCTTCATTAATTGGCTTATCAAAGAATGTCACTTATATTTTATTGTATTTTGGTTTATTTCATAATTTTTTATTTGATTTGATTTAATTTTATTTTATTTTACAAACATTTTTGTCTTTACCCAAGAACGAGAAACAAATCACTTAATTGCATGCGAAATCATACTCAGAGGTGTCTTATAGATATTATATTTAATCATATATTTTTATTTCAACTTATTTTATTCCATTTATATCGCATTGATTTGATTGCAATGATTTTGTCTTATTCTGCTTTATGTTATTCTATATAACCAATTTTTATTTTAATCAATTTCATTTTGATTAGATTTCATTTATTTCGTTAATATTTGAAATATTATTGCTTGTTTTGTTCATTCTTTATTCTTATATTATATTTTGATGTATATTTTCGGATAATATTTCATTACATTTTATTTTATATTATATTTTTTAATTGTTATTTAAATTTATTTATATCAGTTTATTTTGTTTTGATTTTTCATATTTTTTTAATTTATAATAATTAATTTTGTTTTATTCCATTAAAGTTTATTTTACTTTAATTTATTTGATTTAAATTTATCTCATTTTATTTCATTTTATTTATATATCTACTTTTATTATATTTTATTTTGCTTGTTTTCATTTTAGCTTTTTTATTTCAGTTTTATTTATGTAGCTCATTTTATTTTGATTTATTAAATTTTAATTTAATTTATTTGATTTAATTGTATTTTATGTTTTTTTTTAACTTTATTTTTATGCTATATTATTTTTGGCTTAGTTTAATTACATTTTTTATGTTCTTAATTGTTTTATTTTTTTTTATATCACATTACTTTATTTGGCGGCCGCGGAAGCCGAGTGTTTAGCATAGCGTACTGTCATTCGGAAGGCTCGGGCTAAAATCCCGGTATCGTATTTGCATCCAAAAAGTTATAATTAATTTATATAAAAAATTAAGTTCATCATAAAAAACCGTCAGCCGTTTGTAGGTGGCTTAGTATAAAGTGGCGGTCCCTCCATTTGTTTGAAAAACATCAAGACGCGAAACCATAAATTGGAGGAGGAGCTCGGCTAAAAATCCATTCAGCGGTTAAAAAGCGCCAATGTATATATGTTTGTTGTTGTATATATTATTGTTTCTATTATTTAATTATTTGATGTTATTTTATTTTGTTTTATTTCAGCTCATTTATTTTATGATTCTTTTTTATTTATTTTATATTATTTTAATTTTTTATTTCATTTCATTTCATATTGTTTTTTTTACTTTATTTTCTTTTTGCTTTATTTTTTTTTTTGCATTACTTTTTATTTTTTTTTTTATCATTTTTATCTAATTTAATATTTTATTAAATTTTTAGTTTATTTTATTTTATTTTTTAACGTTTCGTATTATTTCTGTCTTTTATTTTGCTTTTGTTTTTACGTTTTTTACAACTGTGCCTAAAGCACATTAAATAATAGTTATAATGATTTTTTTATGCCTTTTTTGATATTAAAATATATAATTTATATAAATTGTGCCTTTTTCTTTAAATCCCTTATTTAAAATAGTCATCCTCTATATCGCGGTTTAATTTAATAAATATTCTCTATATTTTAATTATGTACTATATTTACTTGGAACGTGCAAATATATGAATGTTGTTTTCAAGTGCTAAGGGAAGATCGTGATATGATCTGAGTTAAAATGACAAAAATAGAAAAGAGATATGGACTTCCGATTCAATCATGTTAATATTATTTATATAAATGGTTTTTTATGTACTTCCAAAATTTTGTTTCAGTAACAAAAAAAAACTAAATTTAATATTTATAAAAAATGATTACGTTAAAGAAAACAAAAAAATTCAATTTATAACTTAAAAGATTGCAATCAGGACACTCCTCTGATTTATCATTATCTAATCTCTGAAATAGTCTACTAATTTATATATTTGAATGCATGCTTACGATTAATCGACGAGAAATACATTCAAGGCACAATAAATTGAATTTCTCATAAAATAAATGAAATACTAATTTGTATCCTTTGAAATTTATATCTTATCAATCAAACGAAATCCAACGGGAAGTATACTTAAAGGTGCTTGAGCAGAATGAAATCAACGAAATGTTTTGGTTTCGTCTCAGCGCCTTTGTGTTGGGACGAAATGAAAACGTTAAAGAATCGTCGTTAACATGAATTTCAAAGTGTCAAACGTTTCGGTTGAAAACAAAATAAAATTTATTTTGTTAACTGCTTTAACGGCAATATTTCCGTGAGCCTTAACCGAAACGATTTATTTGGATAAACGGAAATTTAACATTACGATGCATCCGTATTTACCTTGACTAAAGAAATTCGCATCGATATCAGTGTAATATGAATTCGCGGTTGGATGATGTGACGATGGCGGTGACGATGCATAGTCACCAACATAGTTGGTGGTGGCCATATCGTTAAAGTAACCAATGCCAAGTGAGGAGGCGGTTGGATTTGGTGAGCCCAGGAGCGACGACGCGCCACCAGTGCTCAAACCCGACGCGCTGCCACCAAGGCCGGCAGCTGTCGTCGATGCCGAAGCACCGCCGGACGATGAAGAGGAACTAACAGAGGCGCTGCCAGTGCTGCCGCCAGACAACCGATGTTGCTGTGTCATGGATTGCTGCAAGCCTTGCGGTTGCTGCTGGAGTTGTGGCTGATGTTGTGGTGACTGTTGAGGTTGGTATTGGTGATGCGTTTGCGGTTGGTGTTGGTGATTTTGCAGATGGTGTTGGTGCTGATGCTGATGCTGTTGCTGTTGTTGCTGATGGTGGTGATGAGACTGTGGCAATGTCAGCTGATGCGTCAACGCATGCGCAACATGGTGTTGTTGCTGATGCTGCTGCTGATGATGATGATGAACATGAGTGGGCAAATTATGGTAAGAGGTATAATTTTCATAGCTTTGCAGCACCATTTTTTCGGGTGATTTTTTAATTTGCTGCTGCTGCTGCTGCTGCTGCTGCTGAGTATGATGATATTGCTGTAATTGCAAGTACTGATGCTCCTGTGGGAGTTGTTGTTGCTGTGCAGTTGCACTTAAGTAATTGTAATTCTGCGCAGTTTGACAGTTATTGTTATTATTGTTGTTATTATATTTTTGTGTATTTGTTGGACTGCTCGCCGAGTATTTCACTTGCACACCTTGGGGCGATAACGCAGGCGAGGAGCAAGTCGATGGAGTTTTCGTAGGCGATAGACGTTTAACTGTTGTTTTTATTGGCACTCTGCTCAGATATTTTGGAGGTACGCTGTTGGCGTTGCCACCACTGCCACCACTCGTTGCTGCCTTGCCCGTTGTTGCTTCAGTTGCGGTCGAAATGGTTGAACCAACTAAGAACGCAGAGGGCGGCATTGCTTCACGTTTTCTTCTATGGCGGCTGGGCAACGACGGCAATGAGAAATTTTCAAATTGATAATTGGAAAAATGCTCGTCATTGACGCCGCCGTCGTGGTCGGTACTTTGAGCAGCGATCGTTGTGGTGACTTTCTGTGTGTGTGTATGTACAACTAAATTTTAGGCCGTTGCCAATTAAGATTTTGATTTTGCATTAAATAATGTTGGAGATTGGGTTTTTGATTTGAGGACACTTCACTTAAATTGATTTGATTAAGATTGAGTTTGTGCAAATTTACGAGTTATTTGAAGACGGAGGGTTGTTTGACTGCGTTTTCTGGATTGATACATAAATTACTGTACTTGAGGGTTGCATGCGGTTGTTATTTATGCCATGCGGGTGTTCATGAGAAGAGAAAAATCTTTTATGCAGCAAATTAATGACTTGGCGCTATCTTGTGATTAAGCGTATTCAAAACAGCGCTTTGAAAAAATTTATTATCTCATTGTTTTACGTATTTGTGGCGTGAATTATTGCTTTTTTATATAATTAACAATTTTCATTAAATTTACTACACTTCAGAAACTGTTTGAATATTGGTAACTTAGTGAAAATTTCAATTCAACGCACTTTCAATTCAATTAGTATGTACGTATACTTAATGTATGTATGTAGTCTGTTGTTTAATTTTTTTTATTTTATTAGAAGTCTTGTTCACTTCTATTTTAAAATATTTTTAAAATATTTTTAATATTTAATCTGCATATTTTTAAGTTTCATGTGCTTTTCTATTCATTTAAAAATTTGATAAAAATTTTTTTACTATTTTTAATTTAAATCCACTTATTTAGTTACACATAGAAAGCGTTAACATTGCTCTGGCTTGATACAGTTAAAAAAAACTTTTTATTTTGTATTTTGTTAATTTTTAGTTTACATTCATTTTTTAATTTTTGTAGCATTTTTTAGTAAATAAATTAAATTTGTTCTTTAGCATTGTCCGTCGGCATGATCACCACGAGCACTTGCAATTCCTTTAACGTAATGACCGTTAAATGTGCAGATTTATATATATATATATATATATATTTTTTTTTTTTTTGATATTTATATGAAACCGCGATAAGGGTATTTTTTCCAGAATTTACATGTCGAAATACCGAAGCGTATTTGTTTATTATTTCATAATTTTCTTCACATTATTAAGCGTACTGAATTCCATTCATTTCACGGACTAACACTCAGGCGCCCACTATGCGAAAACAACTTTATCACGTAAATAAAATACTAAATCAGTGAAAAAACCGTGATATTCAAATGTATGTAGTTGTGTGTTTATACCAACGATATATCTGATTGGTTTTTTGTTTTCATTTTTTGTTTCTAATTTATCGCGAATCTTTCGTATATGAAACTCACAATTTTTTTGCTGCTTAATTTTTTTTTATTAATTTTTAATCTTTATATATATTAATATGTATGTGTATACATTGGTATATTTGCAATAAATCTCAAGTGTTCGCACACTTTTAGTTTAACACTCAGCAGACCCTTAATAAACGCAATATTTTTTTTCAACAATTAAACACTGCACGATCACTCGTCATTTTCTTTTAGTTAATATCAGTTGTTGAGTAATACGCATTTACATATGTTAAGCTATTTAAGTAGCGAATTTCATTGCAGCTTGAGTTTTATTTATTTATGTCTTCGTCGTTTTTATTAGCCATCTATTCGCACGATCACTTGTCACTTGTCAGCTTTGAATTTTTAATACGTTCAATTAATAAAATCTTTAGCACACACATGCACAATCCCTAATGAAAATCATTCAATCACAAGTTTTTTATTTTTATTTTACTTATTTTTTTTTCCAAACTGATCGCAATAATTTAATTATTAGTTTTCATTCGCGAAGCTCGCTTACAATACACGAATATTGTCCGTGCCGCACATTTGAAACATCTATAACATTCGACATCCGTTTTCCAACTGAAGTTGCTGCCTTTGGGTGTAGAAGTTGTTTGCGCTGGTGTATGCGCCGTCGCTTTTCAGATACAAAACACGTCGGTTTATGCGCCTTAATGTACTCAATATGTTTGTTGTTAAATTGTTGTGGTCGTGGTTGTTGTTATTGTTGTCGTTGCTAGCTGACTGCTGCTGTTGGTTGTACAATACTCTGTTAGCCGTATTCATCGCCCAAGTGCTCAATTGGTAGTTTTTTCCGTACACCTATACTTGCATAAGTGTGTGCGTGTGTGTGTGTGTTTGCGTATGTGCATCTACCACCACTGTTTGTCTGTTTGCGGTGGTAGTGGTGATGGTGGTGTTTTTTGTTTTTTCCGCTTTTGCTCCAATCTTTCTGCTTACATACGTAATGATAAATGAACTTGAAAATGAATATTCACTCAAAGTGCTCAGTGTAAAGGAATTTCCCATGCCTCAACTCTTAGCTCAATGAGTGTGAGTGAGAAAATTGTTGAGTTTTTGAGCTGTATGTTTATTGGGCATAATTTGGCTTACTCGAGTCTTATGGCTTAAGTGAGTGGATGTTGTGCCCAATTCACGTTTGTTTTATACTTTTTATTCTTTATTGTTTTTTTTTCTGTTTAGTTTCAACAATTTAATTCGATTTGATTCAAATTGTAATCTAGAATTCATCTACACTGCATGACCATATGTATATGCCTTTATTTTGGCGTTCTTATGTCAATTCGTGTAGGTATATAATATATATTTAAATTCCACAAAAATATTTTCAATGATTTTTGTTTTGGAAATGAAATATTTTTAGACGAAATATGGATTAGATTTGGACTTTCGTTGCCAACCGATGAGAAAAAAATGTAATAAAAATGTTACATAAAACAAGACAATAACTAAAATACAACAAATAACATGTAATAAATAAAAAAAATTAAATAAAAATACAAATATAAAATGAATTATGTAAAACAAAACAACGCAAAAAAATTGAATTATATTAAATAAAAATATAATAAAACAAAAACAATTAATGAATAAAAATAAATAAGTTTTATTATTATTTAATTATTAATTAATTATATATTAGAATTACAGAAACAGATATATAAAATATCATGAAATCTAAGAAAATAAAAAAAATGAATAAGAAAGTACATTATAAAGATAAATGAAATAAACTAAAATGTATTAAATTAATCCAAAATAAATTAAACAAAATAAAATTAGGTCAGCTTTTAATATAACAAAAAATTCAAATAATTTAAAACTTACACCAAAATATTAACAGTATGGACGTAGTAATAATTATAATTAAAATGAAGTTATATAAAATAAAATGGGAAAAAATATAGGATAAAATGAAACAAATTAAAACATTAATTAAATAAATTTAAATAGCATGTAACAAAAAGGAAATAAAAAAATAGAATCAAATGAATTAAAATAAGAAAATAAAAATTTATATAAAACCGAAAACAAAAAAAAAAAATAAAATAAACTAAATTTTATCATACAAAATTAAAGTAAAATAAAAATAAAAATTAAATAAAATGAAAGGAAATAAAGTAATATAAATTAAAAAATATAAAATGAATTTTAAACCAATTAAAATCTAATAAAATAAATTAAATCAAAATTCAAAATAATAAAATAGATATATCTAAATAAAAAATAAATATAAATGAAATAGAAAAGTAAACATGAAATAAAATTGAATATGCAAAATAAAAAAATTCATAAAAATCAAATAAAAAAGTGAATAAACTTAAATTAATGAAAATAAAACAAATAATGGAAAATAAAATTAAAATTAAAAAAACTGGAAATGAAACCAAGAAAAATAAAATATAAACAAATTAAAATCAAATAAAATGAATTAAATGAAATTAAAAAATAATAAAATAAGAAAATCAACCAAAAAAATAAATATAATATAAGTGAAATAAAAAAGAGAAAATAAAATAAAAAAAAAATTAAACTAAAAAAAAATAAAACAAATAAAATAAAATATAAATGAATTAAAATCAAATAAATTAAAATAAATCAAATTAAAAAAATATATATAATGTAAATGCAATAAAATACAGAAAATAAAATAAACTTAAATATGCAAAATAAAGAACAGAATAAAAATGAAATAATGAAATGAATAAAAATCAAATAAAAAGTTAATAAAACAAAATAAAATTTAATTAAAAGAAAATAAAACAAATAATATAAAATATAAATGATTTAAAAACAACTAAAATAAAGTATATCAAATTAAAAAATAATAAAATAAACAAATCTAACCAAAAAATAAATATAAATGATTATTTCATAAAATAAAATTAAATATGCAAAATAAAAAAATGAATAATAACCAAATCAAAACGTGAATAAAATAAAATTTAAAGAAAATAAAACAAATAACACAAAAAAAAATTAAGCGATTTAAAAAAATTTAAATAAAACCAAATAAAATGAAATGAAAACAAAGTAAAATAAAAAAAAGTAACATAAAAAGACCAAAGCAAATAAATTTTATATTTACTAATTATGTTACTTTTATGGGCAAAAATTTCTGTGTTTTGTTTCGTTGTAAATCAAAATTTGTTAAAAATCGAATCTATATTTAGAAAACTTTGTAAATATTATATTATAAACAATTATAAAAATTTCATATTAATTGCTTTGGAAATATGGAAGTTTAAATAAACTTTTCTTAACACAACAGAATAAAAAAGAATTTTAAAATTGTACTATTACTACAAGCAATAGACATACGAACTGACATAATTAAAATAACTGAAATTGTTTAATCAAATGTAAGTTACTAAACTGTGTGCTAATTTGGAGAATATATAAATAAAAAGTTTTAATTAGAATATGTAAATTTTATGTGCTTTTAATAGACTTAGTTTTTTTTTGGAATTACAATTACTGTTAATAGGTGTTACATTTCTCATAAATATGTACGTGTATGCACTATGTACATATTGCTTCCTAGTATTTATGTTTATGTAATTTTTTTCTTTTACTTTGTAATAGAAATATTTGCACTAAATAGAAATTTATAGTCACAAGTGAGATTTTTTTTGTATATTTACCGATAATATCACATGGGAAACAATGTTAAATATATTATTTATATTATATTTTATCTTATTCAATAGAAATGTGAGTAGGACAAAAACCTTGCAATGATATGCTCTTAATTGGAAAATGCAAGTCTTTTTTTTATCATTTTCTATTGAAATTAAACTCTGCGAAATTGTAATTTATATTTGTCTTACTCAATCAGGGAAAAAATTTGCATTTCTTTAGAGATTATAGATATAATAAATTATATAGGAAATGGTTTCAAACTTTTGTAATTGTTTTCATTATTAATTCAGAAAATGATATATAAAAATTGTGTAAAAAAAGAATTCTAGTCGGTTTTTACGAGCAAACATAAAAACTTCCTGTAATTTTATTATATCCAAGAATATGAACTCAAATAACATTTACTGTATGTAAAATCAAAACTACACTTAACTAATTAAATTAACAGGAATTTTATACTCTGGCTCGTTCGTTGCTCAACTCAGCTCAGCCAAAATTTCTTTAGTTTTTCAACAAGTTTTACACTTTTGATAAATAAATTTCAAATTATAGAAAAAAGTTATGTGAGAAAAGTAGA